ATGCGTAGAGAACGGTAGTGACCTCGAGTTGATTAACAAATGGTGCTTGCTAGACGTGAATCAACTGTGTATGGTTTATCTAATACTGGATGCCATGAAACAGGTTTTGTGGGCCGTGCATGACGGAGAAGCCGTTGCGTGTGATGACGCTTAAGGTTCCTGCACGCAAGTCCTCACGCAAGCGTACACAATTGGACTACGCGAACCTCAACGCAGGAGTCGAATCCGACCCGAGTAGATGGTTACGAGTCATCCAGAGCAAGCCGATCAAGGACGACAATTTCAGGAGAATGAAGGGTGCGGACTTGGGCCTAGAATGGTTGGAGAACGACGAAACCGCGATGCATGAACCAATTGTAGTGGAGAATCCGGAGGGACTAAGAATGAAGATGCCTCCACCGGAATTCTCGGTTCAAGACGTCGCGGATGAAGTTGGCCACGAAACACCTGTGGAGGTCATTGGTGAGTGTAATGGTTGCAGCGTGTATGTGTGACTGATATGTGGCTTAGATGTTGCCTCACAGTCAAATTCGCCTGGATGGACGTTAGGGCGTTGGGCTGAATACTACAATACAGAACCTTCCAAACGAGACAAGATCCGTAACGTGATATCGTTGGAGATTTCGGGGACGAAACTTGCAGACCAGGTGTTACCCCCAAGACTTGTGAGAGAATTGGACTGGGTTGAAAAGTTCTGGCCAAGTACACGTAAAGGGAAGGGACATGCATATCCCAAGGTGCAGCTGTATTGTCTCATGGGCGTTGCTTCCGCGTGGACAGTGAGTGATCATTATTTTTTGTGAGTGACAGTGCTCCAAAAATCGCCCGTAGGATTGGCACGTAGATTTCGCTGGTTCATCAGTGTATTATCATATACTTCGTGGATGCAAGGTCGGTCTCTGAAGTATATGCTCCGTCCTCCTGACAGGTTGGGCCTTTACCCCAGGTTTTCTACTTCATACGTCCCACGCCAGCTAATTTACAAGCGTACGAACGATGGTCCGGGACTGAGATGCAAAGCAATGTCTGGCTGGGTGACATGGTGGACGAGGTAGTGAAGGTCACTCTTCACGCAGGCAACACGATGATAATACCAACAGGGTGGATACATGCTGTGGTGAGCGCCGCCGCTGCTATCGTCTCCAAGATTATGAAAGATCGACTGTTCCTTTAGCACACCCCAGTAGATTCTCTAGTCTTCGGCGGAAATTTCCTACACTCTTACAACATTGCAACGCGTGAGTTGACTTCTTGCTACTCTGTTTCATACCAGAGACTGACATTGGCCCCCGTGGTACAGAGCTGAAAGTGATTGATATTGAGAAAACAACGCATGTGCCAAAAAAATTCAGGTTTCCGTTGTTTGTCAAGTGAGATTTTTCTTCATTTCTGTTAAGCTTTCTGAGCTTCGATTATTTAGGCTCTGCTGGTATGTAGGCGACAAATATTTGCGAGACCTGAAATCGAAAGAAGAGTTTCCTCCTCGTGTTCTGGAATCTCTTGAAGCTCTTGCCCGTTTTCTCGTGTCAGAGTCACAAGCCATGGAACGCGGGATGGAGGTAGCCAAACGGGAAGCCAAGGAAAACGTCCCAAGTGATCGCGTGAAGGACGCACCAGCGATGGCTCGTGAGCTGAGGTGGCGTGTGCGGCTTGCAGCGGGAGTGACAAGCGATGATGAGGACCTTGGGCGCCTAGTCAAGAAGAACATGGTGAACGGCCATAAACGGAAGCGGTCGCCCACTAGTGCGGCTGTGAGTGTGCAGTTCAGAAACTTCCAACCCAGGGGATGGGATGTGGTCGATGAACTTCCCCGGGAATCAGACGAACGGGTCGTGAATATTCACCTCCCAAAGACATCGGATATGTGGGAACGAGAATGGACAGAGTGGGACAAAGAGTTTGAAGGTCAGGAACATGAGGAACAGGCGACTGTGGAGACAACGAGAGATGTGATGATCAAAGTTAGGAAGACTGAAAATGGGGTGGAAAGACAGCGGATAGAACGGGTGATGGAGAAGTGGGTTTGGAAAGCTGTGTCTTCGAAGCCAGAAGGTGATCCCCAAGATGTCGAGATGAAGCCTATAGAAGATGCACCCCTAGTATGCGAAGAAGAGACGAAGGAAGAGGAAGAGGGGATTGAAGTTCATGTCACTTCGCCGCTGGAGACGACTCAAGCGATGGAAGTGACTGCTTAGCTAGAGGTTCATTGTCCTCCCTGCAGCTCTATCGATATCTGATCTATTAGGAGTCCTTAGTAAAACGTGTGGTCTGGACGATAAAAGGACTTAATTTGATTCATTTGCCCTGGGAAATCAACTCGGGCGACCTCGGTAACGGTAACTTGTAGTCTTGACTTTTGCTGGCAATCCTGGCATTAGCCGCCTGCCTTTGCTGGTCGGCGTAGTTTCTGCCATCGTCGTGCTTCATAGTCTTCAAGGTTTTCTTTCAATTGCGCTTAGTGCTCGTTAGTTACTGAGACGTTTGTTTCGACAGGTTTTTCTGTTATTTGTTGTCTTCTTGTTCTGCTCTGCTAATCATGTCCGACCCCGACTCATCGTTGGCCTATGACCAACCCGAACACGACTCGCAAGAGTACCTATCCGTCGATAGTGCACATTGGGATCGCAATGGGATACCTCTGAACAGTCAACAAAACTGGGCGCCGGCACAGCACGCACTACAAGACCCTGCTGCTAATCACTATGGTGCAAACAACCATCTTCCAAACCCTGGTTAGTAATGTTCAAGCGCTCTGTCCCTTATTGTTGCTCATCGTTTTGTCGTCTCAAGCTTTTACACGTCACACTAATCTCTCCGTACCTTCCCTGCCCTCCCACAGTCAAAGACCGGAATATGACGACGTGCCACCACTGCCCAATTTTAATCCCTCAGCTCTTGTAGACAGCATGAATGCAATGCACTTAAACGACCCTGTACCCCGAGGGACAAGCGCAATGTCATACAGCTCTGACCCTGTTCCTCGTGCAGGAACTTCCATGTCAATGCAATCCCTCTCCCCTGGTCAGCGCGGTCCGTACCCGCCACGATATGCGAGCACGCTACCATCAGCGCCTAACGTGAATGTTACCCGCCCTCTGCGACTTCGACATCCAGCCGAACGTTCGCATACGGTCGATGAAGCCTCGCTTTACTCCAGTGATCACCATAATGGCCTCTCCGTGGATACAGATCTTGTGGACATGCATAATTACGACAACCAAGGGCAAAGTCCATACCCTTCCTCAGAAAGTTCCGTTGCACCCTATTCTCAACCCCCACCCTATCCACCAAGGCAGTTTCAAGTTGGGCGACAGGCTGCGCAGGCAGGTTTGCCTCCCGCCTACTACCCTCCTGGCCCAGGTCCTACACACCCTGGCCCCTCTCGTCAGAACGAATATGACTATCTATATGCTGCCGCATCTGACGTCCTCGGTATGGGCCCACCACCACCACAGCACCACATTCCGGTTTATCCTGCTGGTCCTGTGTGCGGAAGCCAAGCATCCCTTCCTGTAAGCCAATCTACACCCTATCTTGCTCCCCCCGGTTCAGGACCCTATGGCGGCAGTGCGGGGATGTTGCCCTACGGCGGCCCACTCAACCCGTCAGTACCCCAAGGACTAGATGATCCCGAGTTTGAGCTTCGGCCCTCATCGTTACAACGTTCTGCTTCCACATCAGTTGATCCACGCACCAAGAAAACGAAGGCAGTTGATCTTACAGCTCCTCCATTCACAAAGGAATACATTGACCAGTACCGACAGCGTATTAAGGCTGATCCGGACCCTGAGGCTCACTTCTTATATGCAAAATATCTCATAGATGCTGCTAAGAAGATAAGAGCGGACGTCAAGGAGCAGAGAGCTGTAAAGAAGTATCGTGACTTACTCCTCCAAGAATCTCTCAAGACCATCCGTCGATTAGCAGAGCAGAAAGAAGCTTATGATGAGGCACAGTTCTTCCTAGCCAATTGTTTTGGGACAGGTTCTCTGGGTCTCCAAGTGGACCATGAGCGCGCGTATCACCTGTACCTACAAGCCGCGAAACAGAATCATGCAGCAGCTTCATACCGCGTCGCTGTCTGTAATGAGATTGGAGCAGGCACGCGACGGGACCCGCAGCGGGCTTCTGCGTTCTATCGGAAAGCAGCATCACTGGGTGACACTGCCGCGATGTACAAGTTGGGCATGATTCTTCTACTTGGGTCTTTGGGAGAGCAGAAGAACCCAAGAGAAGCTATCAACTGGTTGAAACGGGCTGCAGAGCAAGCCGACGAGGAAAATCCACATGCACTTCACGAACTCGCCATGCTTCACGAAATGCCCAACTCACAATTGGTTATTCACGATCCCGCGTATGCCAAGTCACTATATGAACAAGCAGCACGCCTAGGTTATACACAATCTCAGTACAAGCTCGGACAATGCTACGAGTACGGCACGCTGACATGCCCTGTTGATCCTAGGCGATCAATAGCGTGGTACACCAAGGCGGCAGAGAAAGGGGATTCCGAGGCTGAGCTGGCTCTCAGTGGATGGTATCTGACAGGGAGTGAGGGCGTATTAAAGCAGAGCGATTCTGAAGCGTATCTGTGGGCGCGTAAAGCTGCCAACAAGGGCTTGAGCAAAGCAGAGTATGCTGTGGGGTATTATGCCGAGGTGGGGATCGGAATCAAGCAGGATATCGAGTTCGCCAAGAGGTGGTATATGAGAGCAGCAGGTGTGTACAAGTGTCCTATTATCTGCGCATTGTTTTTAGCTCAAAGTTCTGTATAGCGCAAGGGAACAAGCGAGCTATGAACCGACTGACGGAGATGAAGCGTATGGGTAATAAGCGCTCCAACGTTGGACGTCCGACGCGACAGCAAGCCAAAGACGAATGTGTTATTTGCTAGTAACCCTGGAATGATTGCTATCAATTTCGCTGTCGAGTTTCTCCTTTGTCCTCATGGCTGCCCTTTCTTAATTATTATCAACGGCTTCTATCAGCTGATCACTTGAACACTAGTACTCTGGATATTGAACTTGTATCTGTTGTCGATGTTTTACAGCCTGGTCATGTTACTAAGTATGAGGGAATCCATGGCATGTGCCACACTAGCCTTCCAACGTTCAGAAACAGTACTTGTCACTATCAACGCTCTCATCATTTATTTTCATCACTATCGCTATGGCATCTTCAAAAGCTGGCATGCAAGATGTTGAGAATAACTATTTACGCCCCAGTTCGTCGCTAATTCGCTAGATTTGTAGGTTTCCCTTCTGGAGCACATTGCCAAAGCACAATGCTTGAATGAGCAAGACGAACACACGTTGCAGTCCATACTTTCTTCGAAAGCACGAAACACATCGCCTGCATACCTTGACAGCGATGCAGATGCAGAGTTGTTATTGAATATCGAGGTCTGTACTATTCGTATCACACTGATCTATGTAGGCGGCGTTGACGCAGGTCGTCGCAGTTCAACCAGGCAGTTCGTGTACGATCACTGGTCATTCAGGCGCAGGATCGAGGACCGGAGAAACTCAGGCTTCGTATCAACTGCTCCGCCATCGACTTTACCAATTTCGAGGACTCGGAGGATACCCAGGTCATCGAGTTGAAGGCGGATCAAGTCTCAAAAGATACAACGGCAACAAAGTTGATTACACTTCATCCCACAAAGTTCAACCATGTGAACTCGCTTCATGTGAGTCCTGAGCCCTGACCATCCATCTCATGAGAGGTTCTCGACCTTACCCTTACGGCATACCGAACAGATCCTCATCGAATCTGACCACGATAATACCAGAATCGATGCACTTGACATCTTGGGTACGCTTGTCCAGTAAGTTGTTTACGTTCAGGTGTTATCTTCATGTATAATAACGCTACCACCGTGAAGCGCAACGAAGAATCTTAGTGGACTTGTACAACAAGAGGAGTAGAATGATTATGCATTTCGCAACTTGTTACTTCGAGGCAATAATACGGAATCAGCGCATAACGAGCATGATACTGCACCCTTCTGTAACTAGAAGATTCTCAAGCTCAATATTACGAATAATTATTGTACTGGACTTTCATTTCCCGTCAATCTGAAGCCACATACTCCACCTCTTTCGTTCTTCTTCGGAACCTTGGAACACCCAATTGACCTTTATTATTTCTGAAAAGCCCTCCGTCAGTTGGGGTTCCTCGTAGTGGTTCTTGTAGCCTATGAAAGCAACGTATGGTATGATGTCGCGTCTCGACTAATCGTCGCTGAGGTTAGATTTGGGCAAGAGATCGTGAGATATCATACATTTACCTCTATTAAAGGATGAACATATGCGCGGTAGAGGTTATTGTGCCATGCCAGATCCATTGAACCAACGAACTCAATACATCTGATGCAAAGCGTTATGTTCCTGTAGGCGTAAGTAGGCAAACATACTTACCGCACAGGAATCTGAAGTTTCTTCGCAAGATCCAAATAATGCTTTCTAGTTGCATTATCTCTATTGGTATTGTCTGCCGGACCGTCATGTGTTTGGTCAGTTCATACAAGAACTACATGTACTCACCAACTACGCAGCTTGTACCGGCTGTGAGTGCTACTTCAGCTGCTTTCATACATTTGGAACGACTGCCTAATGTATCTTGGTTGATGTGGGTGTACCCAACAGGCGCAAAATGCCTTCGAAAGAAGGTCGATTTTCCGAGACATGGAAAGCCCGAAAATACGACTAGCTCAGTCCCTGCGGCATCAGGAATGATTTGTGCCGTAGGGGGTTCAAGTAATGGTACTGCTTCACGAGTCAACTTCATTTTTTTCAAAAATATCCAAGAAACCAGCGAACATTTAGGGAGACTAGAAATGTGGAATCCGGGAAGGGTATATGGCGCTGAGGGCAGTTGGAGAAAATATTCCTACAAGGTTTCAACATGACAAACATTTTCGAGCGATTGATTCTCACTTCTGGGGTATAGAACGGAATACCAATATTAATCGCCCATTTCCTGTCAGTTGATGCAAAGTCGTTAGTACGACCCGCAGCATCTCCAACAAAGAATGAAGCGTTATTATCTGAAAGTGATGCGTATAAGATACTTGCAATGCATCCTACTGTTCCTATGCTACTCACCTATCTGAACACCGTCTTTTGCAAAAATATGTTCGAGCTCATCCCACATCCTTGGCATAGGCTTGCGGAAGCCATCTTTGGCAGACGCAGCGAGTATTCGGAAAGGTACGCTGGGAAGCTATTCTCGCCTATGAAGGAACGAATGAGGGAAGGAGACAGCAGGGCTTACAGCAGCCGAGATAAGGGGAATCTTCTTCTTCCAGTCCTCCAGATGCTGTTGCTTTAATGCTTGATTGGATATCAATATGATTGAGTATCTGCTATGATTGAGTCGTGACCTGGCTTTGCATACTTTGGACATACCCTTCTCGGTGTAATTCCTCCAACTTCACTGGCACACTAGCTCTCCACCATTCCCAGTGCAACGCAGCTTCCTTGCTTCGATTTTTGTGGTTTGACTTGATCACTGTTCCATCAAGATCGAATGCAGCTACTTTCGACGTGCTTTGTGGTATCAGATTGATTCCGTGCAGACACGTGCGCTTCGGGCCTAGAGCAGGTTTCAGCCATTGGAATGAGGACACCGTGGAGCTGCTGGCGCTAGGTTTGGTGAAGAATGGATGTGCTGGAATAGCACATCAGATGGAATTTTACACACAGCGACTGTGGCTCACTCTTGGCTACTTTTCGAGAACTCGTCATAGAGCCACTGTTATCAGACTCGCCACCCAGTTCTGAAAGAGTTCGCTTCCTTGATTCTGCAATAAGGTGGCTGAGCAAACAAGGCACAGGGGCCACTGCCTCACTTCAAGTTCGAGGGTCGAGGCTCGAATGAAGTGCAGTTGAAAAGGCTAACACGAACCTGATTGTTCCATTTGCTTCGAATCTGACATATCCTTGGGCCCAGTTGTCAGTATGTTGTGCAATTCTACACTGGCGCCCCCGAGCTTGCGTGCCGCGCGGACGTGTTATGGGTTCAACTGTGTCACGCGAATACGCAGTGCCTTCAGCGAAGACGATGGCGAGTGTGGATATCAGTGCCGCCAATTGGCCCAAAGACACTAAATTGTTGGTAGAAGAGCCAAGAACGTTGTTGACATAATACTGAAAGCTACCGGCCGGTGACTAACATAATAATGCAATCTCGAGAAAAGCGAGAAAAGCAAGAAAAGTCGACTCAGAACATTAATACCTGTATTCGTCCAGTAAGGATCATAATTTCAAGACACGCTGTCGTCACATTATATAGACGTAACGTAGAAATACATGAGAGCCACTAGCATGATACAGAACTGAGTGGTGCTTGACATTACCTAGTGTGAAACCATCATCTTTTAATCATGACCCTCTCTCGATACAATGCTGGAGTCAGGAGGGTGATTGTCCTTGATGTCGAGAGAATCACTCTCAGAGACCGTGATGTGGACAATATCACCATTTCTGTTGGATATGCATCAGCACATGCGAAAAATTTGGAACACACAATAATCCTCGTACCTGATTGTTCCCCTCAACAACTTTTGCGCAAGAGGAAACAACACATTAGTACGTACGACGCGAGCGATCGCGCGGGCACCATAGATATCAGAATAACCCTTCTCGGCAAGCCAGTTACGAGCTTCTGCGTCGATATCGAGCGTTATTCTTCTGTCCCTCAAGCGTGACGCAACATCCTTCAGCCTTAGTGCTACGACATCCAGAATTGATCGGCGAGACAACTTGTTAAAAACAAGTATTGAGTCAAGGCGATTGAGCAGTTCAGGGGGAAAGTATTCCGTCGTGCGTTCCATGACAAGATTCTTGGCCTCCTCCGTGACAGCACCATCTGGATCACAGGATGAACTGTGAGCTAATATATCACTTCCGAGATTGCTTGTGAGACAAATGATGGTGTTCTAGGAATGGATTGAGTGTGCCATACTTCATTGACAAAGAACTATATACCTTGAAGTCTACTTTTCTCCCCTGACTGTCAGTAATGCTGCCTTCGTCGAGTATTTGTAGAAGGATCATGGCCACATCCTTCGTAAAAAGCGGCCTTAAGCACAGTTTGAACTATCAAAGCAGAGACGAAGTACCTTGTGCGCCTTCTCAAGCTCATCAAGCAAAATGACCGCTGTGGGCAAGCATTAGTGGGATGTAGGTACTAGGACTGGATCATCTTACCATACGGTTTGCGTCGAACAGCTTCTGTCAACTGACCTGCACACAAGGGATGAGACTAAATGGCATATGAAAGAACAACTGACCGCCTTCTTCAAAACCGACATAACCTGGAGCGGCTCCAATTAGTCTCGAGATCGTGTGTCGGTCGTGGTACTGTAAATTTATGTGAACCAGTCATGTAGAACAGCGAAACGAAAAATTTAAACCACGAACCTCGGACATGTTAATATTGATACTAGAAAATTTGCATGAGTATAATGTCGAAAGGATATTTTGGACGGGACTTACAGTCCTCTCTGCTCGTCATTGAAAAGAAACCCAGCTAGTGCCTTTGCTAATTCTGTCTGAGGGTTCATAAAATCTGAATTATGTAGCGGACAAGGCCGAACACGCAGTTTACCTTGCCAACACCAGTAGGGCCAAGGAATAGAAACGAAGCTACAGGTCTGTTCGGCGCCTGCAAACCAGCACGTGAGATGCGGACAGCATCGCTAATGGCAGCAACAACATGATTTTGGCCAACAACTCGTTCTTTGAGGGCACCCTCCATCTATTGAGAGTCATTAACAGTTCAGATAGAGACTGGTAGTGAGACGAACATGAACGAGCTTGTCTCTTTCACCTTTCAGAAGGTTTTGAACAGGGATGCCTGTGGCCTTCGCAACGACACGAGCGATATCGTTGCTTGTAACCCGGTCATGCAGCATTGACAGAGGACTCTCTTCAGCATCGTCCTTCATCTCGCTGTCCTTTGGGAGCTGTCGTTCGAGCTCGGGGATTGTGCCAAAGCGCAACTGGGATGCTTTGTCATACTGACCGTGACGCTGAGCAACTTCGAGTTCGTGCTTTGCGTCCTCCAGCCGCTTTTTGAGAACCTTGATCCGATCTAGTCTTGCCCGCTCTGGAGATGAATTTAGAAACTATTGCATCTGACTGACAGCGGGATAGATTGCACCATTTTGCCAGATAGCAGTGAGCTCCTGCGCCCCCTCCTTTTGATGCGCAACTCCTCCTCAACCTTGGCCCTGCGCTCGACGCTGAAAACATCAACTTCGTTTTTTAGGCTTTCAAGTTCAATTTGAAGGGTCATGATCTCGCGCTCAAGCGCTTCCAGTTCATCTGGTTTTGATTCTTGAGCAAGGCGGAGAGCTGAAGCAGCTTCATCGACAAGGTCAATTGCCTTGTCAGGCAAGTACCTGTTTGATATGTAGCGCGCACTGTAGACAGCAGCTAGTAAATGATTGCATAAGCACTAAAGATAAAGTGCAAATATTAATCCTGACCTGTGACAAGAGCACTGTCCGCAATTTCGACGCCATGGTGCACTTCATAACGTGATTTAAGTCCTCTTAAAATTGAGATGGTAGATTCAACAGTTGGTTCATCGATTGAGACAGGCTGAAAGCGGCGCTCGAGAGCTGCGTCTTTACCGATCGTTTTCCTATATTCGTCCGCTAGGTACGACTTGTCATAGAACTTATCTCGAAAGAAAGGTCCTACATACGTGTTGTAGCTCCGACGAGCTGGAGACCACGAGCTAGAGCAGGTTTGATCATCTGGCCGGCATCAATGCTCCCCTCCGCTTTTCCTAGGTTGAAAAGCGAATCTAAAACAATATTCGGCTTTCTTCGAGGATAAAACTGCAGGTTTACTTACGGACTTCGTCAATGAAACAGATCACATTTCCTGCCTGATGTTTTGATGTAGTTAAATAGAAGGCCGCTGCCGAAGGGATTGGATGGTAGCTCACCTCCTCAATATCACGGATAAGAGCCTTGAATTTCTCCTCAAACTGCCCGCGAATCCCGGAACCAGCCATAATTGCTGCTAAATCAATTGACAGTACACGCTTATTCTCCAGAGACTAAACAGACTTTCGTTAGTAGTTATCGCGTGCGTGTAGGCGCTGAAGCTGATGAACGTACCTCTGGTACTTCTTTAGCTACAATCCTGCTTGCGAGACCCTCCAAGATGGCAGTTTTCCCCACACCAGGGGGACCGATCAACTACAAAAACTATCTAGTCTTCGTCCGAATGTGACGGGAGTCGACCTACCACAGGATTAGACTTGGTACGTCGGGATAATACTTGGGAAGTTGGCATGATTCCTTCAAATTGGTAGGGTACAACTCACTCTGTATAGTTCTGCGAATTTCTACAAGAAAGACAATTCAAAAGGGAGGCAAAGCTACAACGGTATACATGCACTTACCATCGTCACGCCCAATGGTGGGGTCTAACTTCCCATTCCTGGCCATTTCCGTCAGATCAACACTCTGAGGAAAATGTGAGTGATAAGATGAGGTATGGCGACAGACTTACATATTCCTTCAACGCGTCTCCTTTCTGGTGCTGCTGCATAAACCCAGGGAAACCACCAGCACCACCACCCCCTGCACCTCCTGGAGGCTGCGATGCGTAGCTACGCGCATAGTAACCTGGTATTACTGGTAACTGGTGGCTACTGCTGTGTGGCTGAACACGCCCAGCGAGAGCGAGAACTGCTTGGCCATGACGTAGTCTGAATGAGATCCTTGAAAGCTTTGCAGAAATCGGGACTACTGAGATGACTTTACGTAACATGCAACTGAAGACCCAAAGACCACACTGAGTAATCGACTTTGATGATGTGTGTAACGGGGACAGAAGGTAACGAAAACAAACTATGAGTCTCCCCTATTGACGTATTATTACGTTTTCGGTTGTCTTGTCTTTTCCCATAATATTTGGCTTGGAACAATTTACACTATATTGTGAAAAGTGAAGCAACCTTGATAAATGCTATCATCTCACTTCAACTTTCCTACCCTCCCAGTCTTCCAGCAGCCTGGCCTCGACACGCTTATCGAGATCTTTGACCAGAATGGAGGCTACGTTAATTAATCGTAGGACTTCCTCTGGCGCCGTCGGAACCCCCCCTGCTTTGTGTAGGACACATATCTCGCGCTGAGCATTCATCGCTATGCTCATCAAACCTGCACTCAGCCTCTGTTCAAGCAAAGATGGGTCCACTACGGGTCGCATCAATACATCCGGGAAGAATGCGAACGTCATACAGAACGGGGTGTGATGTATTGCAAGCGAGATGGGTGCGCGTTCGGATGGTGAATGCTGTTGGAAAAAAGTCAAAAATATAAGCAGTAAAGTCGTCTCAATACGCACGACGATTACTTCGTCTCCGATAACTTCCACTTCCGGCTTTCTGAAGTGCTTAAAAGCTACGATACCAGCGAGACACGAACAGTCGAGTATGTTACCAGCATCAGCGAGGACATGAACCGTCAATCGCAACTGCCAGACCTGAAATTTTCGTTATTGACTCATTCAACGTCATCTTACTCGCCAGACAAAGACTTTGACCTACTCGTTGACCTGCCAATATGCACAAAGATTCCTTGTCGATAGCATCACTTCTTCGGAGGACCTTGTCCAACATGCGGGTAAGGGTGACCTCTTCTTCTGAAGGCCTGGTGGAATTTTTGATTATGGCAAAAAGAAAATATACGTAGATGGCACGCACCTACCGACCAGGTTCATAGTCTGGAGACGCCATAGGAGAGATTTCAGAATGTATTGTGATGATGCCTTCAAAGGGTCGCTCTGGCAGCGGCTTGACCATTTTGGCGTCTAATTGTGCAATTACACTGGCACCTGTCTTGTACTTGATAACACGCACGGATCTTCATAAATGCTCACCGTGTTTTGCCCATGGCGCATTCTACCCAACCCAGTTCAGGGCCAAAGGTGAAAGTCGGCGTTCGGAGATCAAGCATATCACGGCCATCTAGTCGCAGGGACTGCTTCAGAGCATCGTAGAGAAACCTTTTCTCTGGAATTGATGGCGAGGGTGGACGCATGGAAGGACGAGGATACTTGAAGTGTATATGTACAAGCTGTTGATTTGGCTTGTGACAGTCTAAGTCGACAGATCTGACTGTCTTAGATCATCAAACTTTGAAGAAAAAATCCTAAAGCGATCCTGCACATCCTTTCGTCACTGTTCTTCACAGCGACCATGGTTCGACTGATCACCCACAATTTACTTGCATGCCACGTCAAAGGATGCACTACAAATAATTTTCCACTCGTATTTCAGGATGTCCAGGTTGAACTACAAGAGGCAGAATTCAACCCTGACTTCATCCGGAATATGCTGTCTCGATTGGAATGGACTGCGTTGGTAAGTGCTGCGAAGCAGGTGTGTGCAAATTTATAACAGGCCCAAGCGAGTGCTCATGGCCTGTTGAGGTCGGAGACACATCGCTGCCTCCAGAACAGCCAGACATGATGGACGACGAGCTACTTCAGAAGCTTCATCATGTTTTGATGGAGGTACACAGGTATCTTGATCACTTCTTCAAGTCTATGCCAACTTTTTCCTAGATCCATGTTACTGATGGTGCGATGGTCTGTCAAAATTGTAACCACATATACCCCATATCTAATGGGATCCCAAACATGGTGAGATACGGCTTGTCTCGAGATTCTCTATTGCATAACTGAGATTTTCTGCAGTTGCTAGCCGAGCACGAAATCGGCTAAATCATGAATAAAAATGTGTAGTTTACCCTGAGATCTTGTTGTTAGCCTTCTCACCCTCGATGGCAAGGGGCACTATTGACCTCAAAAATCACCTTCACGTGTTGGGCATATCCCGTCAGTCTTATCACACACTCAAATAGCGTCCGCGACCGACAACTATGGGTATTCAACGGGTCCTCGATAACATAAACGGTGTGACACAGTCCACGTCTTTCTTATGGCACCTCTATCGCCAGACCTAGAGGGTATGTAATACAGTGATGCGTTATTTCAGCACGCCCTTTCTTGGCGACCATAGGAAGGAGGATAGCCTCAGCACTGATCGTTATTCAGAGCTGACGTAGCGCTGTTATCGAGGGCAGCCTCGGGAAGCGGAAGGTAGTGTGTCATTCAACTCACATTAAGTGCATAGTCTGTTCGGCCAAGGACACCTTCCATCATTTGACTAAGCTCAATTTTCATAACATGAGTAGCGGTCAATACTATCGACGGCCGGTAGGTGTTTCATTTCACACGACTCACGAGCGCCGAGCGGTTATGGCTGTCGATGGCAATACACCTATGGTTTCGGCAGCTTTGGTGCTACTTATTGTATCTATCACAGAGAGCCAAGTATCTGTGTAGAAGACCGTGGTTAGCGTGATCTGAGAACATCTCGTCTTGAAGTAGATGATAACTATCTTTACCAGTCAAGTAACACGTGTGTTGGAAAGGAACAAGAAAGACTGTTGTCTTGTGCCCCAGTATTAGGAAGTCAAATTGATCTACGATACTAGTATTTCGTGAACACCAGTTCAAGCTGCCTGTTACAAGTTGTATATTACACACGCATCTAGATCTCACGCATCATGGAGTCTCCTTGGATAACCAAGTTTTGTTGCCAAGAGTCATCGCGGCTTGTCGTTTGAGTCTGCCTTCAAAGTTCGACGTTTCTTAACATCAGTATGGAGCCCTTTGACCCAACCACACATCCGCACAGACGTTGTAAGTCCTCTCATTGATCGCCATAAGATGACCTTGGGGAGACAGATAACCATGATGCGGTCGCAGATAACCCATTGACTAACACACACGTTCTCGTCTCACCTCATCGCACCAAGCGTCCTTGGCTAGGTCAGACTGAGCCCGCAGAGCCGTCACACCTCCCCCAGTACGATCCCGCATGTTACTTGTGCCCTGGGAACACTCGGGCGGGTGGCAAGGTGAACGAAATGTACACTTCCACCATGGCATTCGAGAACGATTACGCTGCCGTTCTCCCACCACCTGGACCTGTTACACCTCCGGCTGCACATCCGCTCCTAACTGCCGAGCCAATCCAGGGCGGATGCGATGTTGTATGTTTTCATCCCCGGCACGACCTTAGTCTACCGACCTTATCTCTGTCGGACGTGGAGAATATCGTGGATGAGTGGACTCGTGTTTACATGAGAAGGGGGACTGAGCCTGGCATTAAATATGTGCAGATCTTTGAAGTATTTAACTTTGACCAGATCATCGCATAAGTCCTCACTTCATAACAGAACAAGGGAGCAATGATGGGGTGTTCCAACCCGCATCCCCACAGCCAAGTATGGTCTCTTTCCACTGTGCCCACCCTTCCCGCGAAGGAGCTTGCTTCTCTGCGCAACTATGCCTCTACCACCGACGTGCGCCCTGGCGTTCCAACTGGGCCTGACGGACATGCATGCCTATTGTGCGAGTATGTGCATCACGAGTTGTCCGTTACAGAAGATGAAGGACGCGTAGTCATCACAAATGAGCATTTCGTTGCGCTTGTACCGTGGTGGGCGTATTGGCCCTTCGAAATCATGGGTGTGTTACAGGTTGCTTACTTGTGGCAAATACTAGCTCTGAACCCGATATCCCAGTGATCCCTCACAAACGGCATATTTCGTCCTTTGTGCACTTTACAGCTGATGAGAAGTACGCATTTGCAGACATAATATCGCGCGTGACGAAGCGTTACGATAACATATTCTCCTGTTCGTTTGCATATGCGATGGGCGTTCATCAACGACCCCTTCCCCCACGTCGAGATGATGATGGGATGTATGTACAAGATGCAGACGATGTCGCACATCTTCATGTGCACTTTGAGCCTCCACTCCTACGGAGTGCTAGCGTGCGCAAATTTTTGGCAGGGTGAGTTCCACCACAAATTGTTGGCTTGTCGACATAAGCTAATATAATTGATAGCTTTGAAGTCATGGCAGAACCGCAGAGAGATCTTACTGCAGAGCAAGCTGCGAAGAGACTGAGAAACTGTCCTGAAGTTCACTACCTCCAGATGTGAAGGTGAATTGCTTTTCATGTACAGACCATCACACACAAGTGATTGCCAATCGTCTTGTCGATCTGTGCAGATTTACTTCCACATAGAAGAATTCTTTTATACATCAGTATGCAGTAGATTACCATCTATCTTATCATGCGAAAACAGCATCTGCGTGTGTGATATATTGTAAATGTGGATGAGCTGTATTGAAACACAAGATAGTTTGAGTAGGTTTAAGTGCGAGGCGTTGTCTGCATGCAGCGAAAATCGGAACTCTCGCGGAGGTGCTGAACGTGAAAACTCAAGCTGTATTGAATGAATCATGATCGCGACAGAGATCGAGTCGAGTAGTACAGCTCAGTTGTGCGTGCGAGGCGTTTGCTGGACGCCATATGTAAGCAGGAACGGAAACGGAAACTGGCAGGCACCAAACGGCGTGAACGTTCACGTTTAAACTCAGTGAGCGGATGGGAGGCCCGGCGGGTTGCATTGAGTATCGAAGGTGCGCAGCGGTCTTATGGTTGATGCTACAAACTTTTATAGCACTGATGGCCGAGCCTTGAAATATTAGACTGCCTGGGAAATAATTAAGGTTAATCACCCAGAGGAGCTTGAAGAGCCCAATGCTTGATGTTCTGGGAACTCATAGTGGACAATGTTGACCCAACATTGTATGTGAAGAGGTCCACGAGCTCGTTGGTATTGGCCAGGCGGGCAAGGACCTGAAGAGTAATAGACTGGCCGACCAGCGGGAAAAGTGCATGGAAGAGAAGAATCGAATCTGAGTTCCGGAGAGTGCTCTGATACCTGGAAAGGGTGCAGAGTGCATTCTATTTTTGAGAGCGGGGAACTCGACGCTCGTCAGCATGTTAGGAGCAAGATAGAGCAGAGATGTTCCAAAAGGAAAGTATAGTAATCGGCCTCCAGCAGGTGCAGCGGAGCAGTGGGGTCCAAATTTGCGCCCTGGCACGCGAGAATCACGCCGGTGGACGCTGCTCTAAGGTTATTATAAGATTCTATGCTGTGGCTTCGGCGCAATAAATATAGGGCTTGGTTAAGATGGACCTCCGCGAATCTATACGCCACAAATTTGTTCTCAGCAGGTTTTGGATCAACTCCAAGAGAAACAGATTTTGACCCTGCTGTGCTAACTTGAACCACTTAGCTAAGACCAGTTAGATGGACCTCCGAGGAAACCATGATGATCCATGAGTCAATATCACCGATAGAAGAAGAAAAAAACTGTCGTTCGGCAGGTTTTGAACCTGGACAAGCCAAGAGAAACAAATTTTGATTCTGTTGTGGTAAACACTTGGCTAAGACCAGTGAGATGAGCTGCTGAGGAAACCATCTATGAGTGAGTGAATGTCAAGGTGTACAAAAAAACTTTGTCGTCAGGAGGTTTCAAACCTGCGCAGTCCAAGAGAAACAGATTTTGGTTCTGCTATTGTAACCACTTGGCTGAGACCAGTTAGATGAACCTCCAACAAAACCACCCATGAGTGAATGTCAAGGGAAAATCATTTTTCGACTCCGCACCACCCAAGAGAGCAGATCTAGATTTCTAATAATCTGTTCTGGTGCCAGTTGGCTGTGACCACTCAAGATAGACCTTGAAGGATCCGGGAAGTGGATATTGTTCAAGGCGCCCTATTCAAAAGGAAAAATATTCCTGCAACATATTTCTGTCCTATCGTACTTACCACTTGGCTAGCATGGTGTAACTTAGCTAAGACTGTCGTCTCTTAACTGTTACGCCAAAAGGCGGTGATACTGAAAGCTTGTGTTTCAGTATCGCAGACAGTATTTATGTAGATTATGGGAACTCCAGTAAGCCAGCGTGCTTACACATGGCTGGTCAAGATAGACGTCTACGAGTTGCAGAATATCATACATTGACAGTAGAATCACATAGGATTAGTAGTCCTTTGCCAACGCAAAATGAAATACAAAGATTGATTTGTGTTTAGTTCAATGTACACAAAACACGCCAGGAATAAGCGAGTCGGCGCCGGCACCGTTACAATATGATTTACGATAGCTCCACAAGAACGCATGGTTCGACTAAAATCAGTGCATGCAATTCTGGAGACGGTGCTTGCATTCACAATGATTTTTCGCCTTTTTCATTGATACTGAGAGTCAAAGATCTACAGCTGGAAGTGCGGTAGGACTAGTTGGTGCGCCGACCGACGGAAAAGCCTAGGTAACCGTGAAAATATTAAGGGCGGCACAGTGGCGTAGATGTTTGTGAGGTTTGGGAGTGAGTCATACTTTCTCGTGATCGAGGTGCTTAACTGGTGCGCCTCCCTGATGTCGTCGACAGAATTAAATCCTAACATGAACACAGTCAGTATGGGCAAGATTGTGATCCATTTCGCCTTGTGTAGTATGTGATGTTGGGTCGAGTTTTTCATATCGTCCCGAGAACAAATATCTATAATATTACCTGATGGCCCTGCCAGAGGTGTTGTATACTCATGCTATCCGTTCGACATATCTTCCCTTTCCACTCCTACGCGATGTCATCAGTTCCGAGAAGTCTAGAGGAGAAATATGAATGTTAGCATACCGTGCTTCGCTCTCAACCTCTACCAATTTCTGTGCATACATCTCTGCGGCACGTCGGTTGATGTCAGTTGTCTCTTGTGTATCAGGGAAACCAATGTCCCAGTAACCGGGTGGTGTCTTGGCACGATACCAATGGTGCCGATGTCGTGATATCCTTTTCTTGTGGTGCTCGATGTCGTCGCGGTTTTCTTTACAGTCGAAGAGGCTATCAAAGGATAACCGGCGTTTTTTAGTAGGTGTTGAAGAGGGTGAACGCCAAAGCGGTTGCTGGAGAGGCTTGGGCAGCGGTCCAACGCCTTCGTAGTACTATTTAACACACATGGAGATTGAGTAACAGCGATTTTTTCGAAAAATGAGACACGCACATCACGACAACATTCGCAATCGTCAGCAAGCATCTTTTTTCGCCCCTCGCGGCTCTTGACCACTTCATCATACTGGAAGTCTACGCCGTGATTGCGTTCTTTGCATATAGTGAAGCGTGAATTGATAGTGATCGCATCACTGTTGTTTTGAATCAGGAAAAGTCAGCAAGCATGGTCTGGTAGAGACTTACGTAGCTTGGGCATATCGCCCGCGTCTCTTGGGCGGATCCCAACGCGAGGTGGTACTCTGTAACACAGATGTGCCTGCATTAAGATTGGTGAAGGTTGCCAAAGTGTATGTAGACTGACAAGAACGCACCGGCTGGTGGGTCCTCGTTGCGGACGTCTTTACCAATAGAATATTCGTGTATCGGGAACGGGGGTTCGAATGGAGTGGCGAGTTGCACCTCAACTTTCGTTGAAACAGTCGTTTCTCTACGCGAGGTGTGGAGAATTGATGGTACTTCCTGCTGTTTAACCAAAGCATCAGGACCTAATGCAACATCAGCTGAGTACGAAGACGCGCGAAAGCCTGCGTACGTACGCGTCTTGCACATCTGCTTCTCCTCCTCGTCAAACGCACTCAAGTCCGGACCTATTTCTTCAAATTTACGTCGTTTGTCGATGCTAGAGACTCTCCGATAAACATCATAGTTGCTATCCTTTAGTAATGGATGCATCTCCTTGCCATCGGAACTCTCGCAAAGCCACTGCTTGATAGTTCGCCACTTTTTGTAGTCGGCCTTGTACCTCTCGGCGGCACGCTCTTTAGTGGCAAGTAAAGCATCATACCGGTGTTGGAGATGTGAAAGTTCGGCCTGTAGAGATGATATCTTCAACAACAAAGTGGACGTGTCATGAGTGTTTGATGCAGACATTTCAAGGTTTGATGCATGTAACAAGGGGCAATGACAGTTAAGTAAACGACTTCGGACTTATATTACCTAATTCGAACTATCCTAGTTGCATATACTCACCCAATTGTCCACCAATATGTTGACCTTTTCACAGGGCTGGAGGTGAATCCAGTCGCTAGTTTGTTTATCGAACGCTTCCACTCGTCTCTGCCTGTTTTCACTTGCTTGCGCATGAAGTTGGAATCTAGGCGAGTTTTAAGTAAATAAGTATGTATGTATGTACAATACTGACGGATGTTCCTCTCACTACCTGCACCTGTTCCCGCATGTCTGTGCTTGTCCTTGTGTGTCCCGCTTGTCTGCTCTTTGCTCTGTTGGTTTTTCACTTGTGTGTCCCCGGTGCAGGTGTGATTTTCGCGTTTATAACTCTAACAGCTCGTTTTGTCTTTGCCAGCACTCATTCTCGCTCGTTTGGGCACGTCCGCTCATGCCGCCGCTTGTCTGCGCCCGTTTCCATGCATCCCCGTTCATGTGTGCAATGCTTGCGCTTGTTGTACTCGTCTAGGTGAGTTTTCATGTATCCATATAATCACATTACTGACAAGCTTTTTTTCCTGTCTTCTCTGCTACCCCCCGCTTGCCCGCACCCGTTTGTAAATGTCATCAGACATTTACATCCATCATCACCGGCACTGTGCGTTCGCCAACACTTGCACCTGTCTCCATGTGTTTGGCATTTGCATCTGTTCGGGTCACCAAGGAAGCGCGAGAGGCTGACAATACCCAACCTGAGGGAATGAATGTCTCCACTCCTGAATTCGCAAGGGGCCGAGGGAATGACACTAGCTGAGGGGACAGAGAGAGTCGTGGAGTTGTGCTTCTTCATCTTCCGAGGCAGGTATGCCTTCTCATGGTTCATGTTGCCTTGAATGACCGTGATGTCGAAGGATGCATATATATGCACCCTCGTCTTCATCATCAATACTTGCAGTGTCGCAAGTCTTTTCCCGCGCCTCTCCCGATCCTTCAGTGGTGAACACTCAGTCAGGGTGCTTCAACCGTCTTGCGAGTTCTTCTGATTCCGCCACGGTCAAGTCAGGCTCAGAAATACGGGGTGTCTGCTGTAAGATGAGAGTGTCGTGGTTGCCGTCGCATTTGATGCGCCGTCAGGCTTCCGTTTCCTCGCAACAGGTGGTCGTGGTCCATTAGTAGCGTTGTATCCAGAGTTCTGAAACGGTGTCGGCGCTGCAGCTGTCTCGTGAGTTCTTCCGACTCTGCTACAGTCATCCCAGGATCAAATGCACGAGGCGGTTCTACAGGGTTCGTGGATTGGAATGAGTTGAGAAATCGCAAGGGTCCTGATCCATGCAGTCCTGCCAGTGGGCGCGCTCGTTTGACAGCGGTTGCATTGGATGCGCTGTCTGGCTTCCATTTCTTAGCGACAGGGGCTGGTCGTGGATTTCCGGTACTAGCTAAGGGCCTGAAGGGAGCAGTATTGAACTGCGAATGCATATTTGCTCATAGTAAATGCAGGATGTGCAGTGTGCACATAACAGGACTTGATCTGTAGAATATGGCAAACATGACTGCTTCGAATGGGTCAAATAATAGCAGCGCAATTTATTCTGGGAAAACGAGTGACTTTATTTGGTGTTGAGACAAAAAGCCATTTTGCTTGCAAGGTCATGCTATGTCGCATCTCATCATGCACCGGCCGGATGAACAATCAGTAGAGTGCACGAGTCATGAAAAAACTGCAGTCGTTGGACGGTGAGCTCCGATGCCAAGCTCCAGTTCAATGCATCTTGACCCGTTGATAGCACCACAGCCCGTGTCGCATTACCACTTTCTGCGGTAGACGGTGACTCCGATGGGGAAGCCGAGGCAGATGGATCACAAACAAATGATGGTGATCTGTTGGAAGACTTTCCGGACGAAACTGATGTGCGTACTTACGCGGTCTTTCATCGTCTACCTAATCGAGGCATGCACGACTAGGAATTAGAGCTCGTGCATTCGCGGTTGAGCTCTTTGGCCAATCTTCGACTCGATCGGTTCGCAAGGCACCTGAGGAAGCTATGTCTCAGACAAAACGCTATATCGCATCTAGATCCAGAGGTTTTTAAGCTGCTCACGCAGCTTGAAGAGCTTGACCTGTACGATAATAAACTCAAAACTGTGGGAGATACATTAGACGATATGTCGGCTCTAACGTGAGTAACGTTTCTCTCACCTTAAGTCTCTGATGGGTTCTTAAGTCGCGTAGCATTCTGGATCTTTCATTCAACCTTCTACGATAAGTGCCGGAAGCACTGTCGCATCTACGTTCCTTGAAGATCGTGTATTTCGTTCAAAACAAGATCTCCAAAATCACCGGCTTAGAATCTGTGGGAGCGACACTAAGAAGTCTTGAACTTGGGGGAAATAGAATACGGGTAATTTGCGCCGATCAGTCGATCGTTCGCAGGGGTAGCTCACGCTGGTACTCCAGCATATCGAAGGGTTGGATGCGTTGGTCAACCTGGAGGAATTGTGGCTGGGAAAGAACAAGCTCACGAAACTAGAGGTGCAGTACAGTGCATCATATTATCATAGTTTGATGCTCAAAGTCATACGATACAACAGAATCTGAGTACACTGAGCAGATTGAAAATATTGTCTCTTCAGTCTAACAGGATCACAAAGATCGAGGGTCTGGATCAATTAGCTGATTTGGAAGAGCTCTACCTGAGCCACAATGGAGTCGAGCGTTTGGAAGGTCTTGAGAACAACGTAGGTATTCAGTCAATTGTTCCCGCTGTCATGGTCAAGCTCTTGCGCAGACAAAGCTGAGAATGCTTGACGTTGGCGTGAACTTTGTTCTAGCGATCGAAAATATATCGCATCTGGTATCTCTAGAGGAGCTCTGGGTACGTGTTTCTTGACTGCGACGGAATCAAAATCTCATTTTATGGTCAGCTCAATAACAACAAGATTACTGATCTGTGAGCCCTTGAGCCGCAGCTCAAGAATGTTACAGTTCTATTCTTTTCCTTTCACCTCTTCACTTATTCACGATTACTAATCATTCTTAGACATTCTATGACATTCCATTGTATGATTCTCTTTTCTCTTTTCTGATTTGCTATTTACTTTCTATCTCTGATTCATTTATTAAAGCTCCGCTTTAATCCCTTTATATATACTCTATCTCTTACGCTTGTATTCTTTAACTTGACCTATGCAGACCAGGGCCTGCAATATACTGCTTAACTCACATGACTTGTACATAGGTGTATGCTTTAGATCATTTGTTTCTGTCTAGTTGTTCTCATGAACACTGAGCATACAGTGGCTCAAAAAACTGTCCGCATGTTTTGACATTTTTCACTATCTATGATATTGTGTGAGAATGAACAAATGCCTCAAGGACATGCTTATACCACATTGTAGTATGGCTTCAGGGCTTTCATTTGAGCCCTACACCGTGGGAATCGGTGGAGATATGGTGGAGACATAAGGCTTACAAAATCATGACTCATGCGGACAGTTTTTTGAGCACATATTAAAACTATATAAATCATCATTTATGACACCATAACAATCATGCCACCATTAAATAAATTATAAAGTGGTGTCATTATGTCATTTTAAAACCATATCTAACTATACAAACCAAAAATTTCCATATGTCATGGTTATATTCACCATGAAAGCCACCTCCCCTGCTCAAAGGGATAATATCCTCTCTCTTTCCTATTCTGGCCTCTCTGCTTGTCAAATTTCCCCTAGAACTGGAGTATCCAAGTCCACTGTGGCCAAGTTCATCAAAGAAAGTCACACAGATAAGGAAAACTTCTGTGAAGGGTGTCCATCCAAGCTCACCTCTACTGATAGAAGGGCTATTATTCAACATATCACTACAGGAAAGGCTGATAATGCTGTCCAGGCCACCTATTACATCAATTCCACCATCACATTCTCTGTCTCTTCACACACTGTGAGAAACATTCTCAAGACAGCTCATCTCAGGTCAGTAACAAGGAAGAAAAGGCTCTCCTCTCTATCACACATAAACAGAGATGACTAACCTTTGCCTTAGCCCATCAGAATTGGATTACATGGACTGGAAGCATGTTATATGATCATATAAGACCACAATAAATAGGATTGGGTCAGATGGCAAGGTATATATGTGAAAAAAGAAGGGTGCTAGTCCTCTCTGCATATGTGTAATAGAGAGGAGAGCCTTTTCTTCCTTGTTACTGACCTGAGATGAGCTGTCTTGAGAATGTTTCTCACAGTGTGTGAAGAGACAGAGAATGTGATGGTGGAATTGATGTAATAGGTGGCCTGGACAGCATTATCAGCCTTTCCTGTAGTGATATGTTGAATAATAGCCCTTCTATCAGTAGAGGTGAGCTTGGATGGACACCCTTCACAGAAGTTTTCCTTATCTGTGTGACTTTCTTTGATGAACTTGGCCACAGTGGACTTGGATACTCCAGTTCTAGGGGAAATTTGACAAGCAGAGAGGCCAGAATAGGAAAGAGAGAGGATATTATCCCTTTGAGCAGGGGAGGTGGCTTTCATGGTGAATATAACCATGACATATGGAAATTTTTGGTTTGTATAGTTAGATATGGTTTTAAAATGACATAATGACACCACTTTATAATTTATTTAATGGTGGCATGATTGTTATGGTGTCATAAATGATGATTTATATAGTTTTAATATGTGCTCAAAAAACTGTCCGCATGAGTCATGATTTTGTAAGCCTTATGTCTCCACCATATCTCCACCGATTCCCACGGTGTAGGGCTCAAATGAAAGCCCTGAAGCCATACTACAATGTGGTATAAGCATGTCCTTGAGGCATTTGTTCATTCTCACACAATATCATAGATAGTGAAAAATGTCAAAACATGCGGACAGTTTTTTGAGCCACTGTAACAAAAGGTCAAGTTCACTCTTTACTGTGCGGTTCCCTAGAACTTGCGCCCAGAACAGAACACCATTCCACTGATCACCCCGACTCCTCCCAGTTTTACCTGGGATGAAGAAGAACAAGAGTTCTATCAGATTGACGCCAAGGGCACCAGATACTCCATTGACCAGTGGGCTGCCTATTATGCTAGTACAGCACCCAAGAACAAAGTTTGGAACTTCCATACCCAAACCTATGAACGATCCTCCACACCCACCATGCCTAAAGAGATCGGAAAGACCCCCTCACCCTTCAATGGCAACACCTGCCTTGCTCAGGGATGGACGCTTCAAGTCGAGACATACCTAGATATGAATGATGAAGTTTACGATAATGACAAGAAAAAAGTTATCTTCACCCTCAGCCTTATGACCAAAGGCGAGGCTGCTAAATGGGCCAAAGGCCAGCTCAAAGCTGCTGTTGCAGCAAAGACCTACGGAACCTGGGAAGACTTTGCTAAGCAATTTAAATCCACTTTCTTCCCTAAGAACGTTGAACAAACTGCGATTCGTCGCATCTCTTCCCTCAGACAAACCGGTAGTGTAGCCGCTTACGCTTCTCTATTCCGAACCATCCTAGCCGATACCGGCATCTCCAAAGAAAACACAAAAATTATGTTCTTTAGAAATGGGCTTAAGCAAGAGATAGTCTCCGCTATATATGCCTTCAAAACGACTCCCACCACCATCAAGACGTGGCTAGAGAAAGCCTTAGACGTTGAGGTATGAAGGACCTTAATAGCACCTCCTTCCTATACCAAAGCGAAAGATCCGTACACTATGGATATAGATAAAGTAGAGATAGACGATGAAGAAGGTGAGAAGAAGATGAGGAAGACTTACCTTACTCCTCAAGAACAGGAGCGCAGGCACAAGGGTGGCCTCTGCTTCAAGTGCAGCAAAAAGGGCTTAGCCACAGACTGCCCTAACCACCCGATGGTTACGACCAATACCAGAAAGGTAATCAAGGAGTCATCTGACGACAATTACAAGGAATTTCAAGAATGGAAGGCGTTTAAAGCACGCCAGATGAAGAAAACTGGGGAGCCTGCCACGGTGTCAGAAACTCCCAGAATCAGACTAGTAGTACAATCTGTTGGCAATACTAATTCTATTCATTTGCTGTTAACCATCAGATCGAAGAAAACCGAGAAAACCACCATAGCCGCCGCTCTAATTGATTGTGGTGCAGAAGGCGAATTTATCGACGAGAAGTTCATCCTCAAAGAGAACATTCGCACGCACAAACTTGAAACCCCAATACCTGTGCATAATGTAGACGGCATGTTGAATAAAGCTGGAAGAATCACACGGTACTGTGAACTTTCATTCTTAATCAAAGATATCCCTATGAGGAAGTGATTCTTTGTAACCTCTCTAGGAGGAGAAGACGCTATCCTGGGAATGACTTGGCTAAAGAAAGAAAACCCAGATATCAATTGGACTAGTCAAGAAGTCTGCTTAAGGGAGCGTACCCTGAAAAAAGCATTTATTGAAGAAATTGAAGAAGACGAAGACATCTTTTATGACACTCTAGAAGGATTAGAACCAGAATGGGACCCTGCTAATGAAACTCTCCCACACCTTCTAGATCCCATCAATGACGATGACGATTTCTATACCTATATCCGGAAAACCGACAACATCTCACAAACCCTCGCTCAGGACGCCACTAAACCAAAGAAAACTTTCGAAGAACTTGTACCCAAGGATTTCAACAATATAAAGACATATTTGGTGACATAGCTAATGGTACTCTTCCTCCAGAACATAAATATGACCACAAGATTGACCTCAAGGAATCTTTCGAACCACGGAAATGCAAGATCTATCCACTTAACGCCAAAGAAGATAAGGCTATGAACGATTTCATTGATGAACATCTAGCTAAAGGAACAATTGTTCCTTCCGAATCCCCCCAATCCTCTCCATTCTTCTTTGTTGGGAAGAAAGACAGTTCCCTCCAACCTTGCCAAGATTATCGCTACCTAAACGAACACATGGTTAAGAATAACTACCCTTTACCGCTAATCTCTGACCTTATAGATAAGCTGAAGGACACTAAGATATTCACCAAAATGGACATTCGATGGGGCTATAATAACGTACACATGAGAAAATCTGACCAATGGAAGGCAGCCTTCACCACTTCCAGGGGACTTTTTGAACCCACAGTTATGTTCTTTGGAATGTGTAACTCGCCCGCCACCTTTCAGTCTATGATGAACGACTTGTTCAGAGACATGATTCAAGAAGGGTGGATCATTATATACATGGACGATATACTAATCTTTTCTAGAGATGAAGAAACCCATCGTATCCGCACTCACAAGGTACTCCAACAACTCCGCAACAACCTCCTCCATCTAAAACCCAAAAAATGTACTTTCAATGTAACCGACATCGAATACCTCAGCATGATCATCAAACCCGGTTCTATTGCCATGGACCCCACCAAATTAAAGGGTATATCCGAATGGAAGACTCCCACAAAAGTGAAGGAAGTCCGGTCATTCCTTGGATTCACTAACTTTTACCGACGGTTTATTGCTGACTATTCTTCAATTGCCAGACCCCTGATTGACCTAACCAAGAAAGATGAAGAATTCTCTTGGACCCCTGAACACGAGGAAGCTTTTAATAAGCTGAAGTGTATCTTCACTTCCTCTCCTATCCTTCAAATTCCTGACAAAAATTCCCCTTTCGCGATTGCCACTGATGCTTCACTATATGCTACAGGCACAGTACTCTTACAAAAGAACAATAATGGAGACTGGCTCCCATGCTCATTTTTATCACAATCTTTTAACCCCGCTGAACGAAATTACCAGATATATGATCGAGAATTACTCGCGATTGTCCATGCTTTGAAAGCATGGAGACATTATCTTCTCGGTTCCCCCTATCCCGTCATCGTACAAACTGATCACAAAAACCTTACTTATTTCAGAGACATACAAGACCTTAACTGATGCCAAGCAAGATGGCAGACTTTCCTTTCCCAATTTGAACTCCAAATTCAACACGTACCTGGGAAAGAACTCATTATTCCTGACCTCCTTTCCTGTAGAACGGATCACCTTCCAGTCGATAGTGATGAAAAGGATAATATTAGTATTCAACTCCTCCCTGATTCAATGTTCATCAATGTCATTGACACTTCTTTTACAGACAGATTACGTATTTCTTCCTCTATTGACCCCATAGTACATACAGTGCTTCAAGCGCTCACAGACTCCTCTATTCCTCCTCCCCTCCCCTCCGCTCTTTCCAATTGGAAATTAAGCGACGGAATTCTTTCCTTTAAAGGACTTACCTATGTACCCCCTGGAGATCTCCAATGAGAACTCACTTCCTTACACCACAATTCTCCTACTGTAGGACACCCTGGATGCTTCAAAACCCAGGAACTTCTGTCTCATGACTATTGGTGGCCAGGCCTAGCCACATTCATCAAGAACTTCGTAGAAGGCTGTTGCATCTGCCAACAGAATAAAGTAAACACGCACCCTTCTACTCTGCCACTTTCCCCTATTCCTGCTCCCATTTCCAACCGACCCTTCGCTCATTGCTCAGTTGATCTTATCACTGACCTCCCACTCTCCGATGGCTTTGACAGCATCATGGTCATGGTCAACCATGGACTTTCGAAGGGGGTAGTTTTCACCCCTTGTCTCAAGACAATAGACACTGAAGGCATCGCAAACATTTTCTTTTCTAAAGTTTTCTCTAGATATGGACTTTACGATAAAATTATCTCTGACCACAGACCTCAGTTCACTTCCCGATTCCAGGTCAAACTCGGAAAACTCCTCGGATACAAGAACTCCCTTTCCACCGCATTCCATCCCCAGAGTGATGGAGAGACCGAACGAGTAAACCAAGAACTCAAAGTCTATCTCCAGATCTTTTGCACCAATGACCAAACCAGTTGGGTGCCCATGTTGCCATTAGCCGAATTCGTTCATAATTTGCATCACCATTCAGCATGTGGTACCTCTCCCTTCTATCTTATGATAGGTTATCACCCATGTCATCTCCCTGACTCTCATCCGAAATCTGACATTCCTAATATCGAACAACGACTCTCTCTGCTTAATAAAGCACGCGACGAAGCACTAGCCACTCATGAACTCGCACGTAACACTATGCGTCAATGAATCACGTCTAAATTCATACCATTCTCTAAAGGCAACAAAGTCTGGCTAGAAGCCAAGAACCTACATCTTGGGTACCCTAATCGCAAACTCACTCCTAAACGAGAAGGACCCTTTATCATCACTGATGTATTATCCCCTATAACCTATCGACTTGCACTTCCCGCGCAATGGTGCATTCACCCTGTATTCCATGCCGCACTCCTTTCTCCTTACAAAGAGAATGATACCCACAGCCCTAACTATATTCCACCGCCTCCTGACTTAATTGACGGCAAAGAAGAACATGAAGTCGAAGCGGTCGTCGGACACCGCGGATCTTCATCTAGAAGACAATATTATGTAAAATGGAAGGGATTCCCAAGTTCCAAGAACGAATGGATGAAAGAAGCTGAACTAGGTAACACTTCTAAACTTCTTACTAATTATAAACAATTGCATCGTCTCCTTTGATAGTAGTCGGTGCCTACTACCCTTACAACGGGGGTAATGTTACAGTTCTATTCTTTTCCTTTCACCTCTTCACTTATTCACGATTACTAATCATTCTTAGACATTCTATGACATTCCATCGTACAATTCTCTTTTCTCTTTTCTGATTTGCTATTTACTTTCTATCTCCGGTTCATTTATTAAAGCTCCGCTTTAATCCCTTTATATATACTCTATCTCTTACGCTTGTATTCTTTAACTTGACCTATGCAGACCAGGGCCTGCAATATACTGCTTAACTCGCATGACTTGTACATAGGTGTATGCTTTAGATCATTTGTTTCCGTCTAGTCATTCTCACGAACACTGAGCATAACAAAGAATATGGCATCCCTTGAAATGATTTACCTGGAAGGCAACCCTTGTCAGCGGGCTGAAGGTACAGGTTACAGATGGAGGATAATGCTGACACTTCCTCAGGTTAAGCAAATTGATGCCACGTTAGTAATATTCGCTTTCGATTTATCTCTAGAGTATTTGGCTGACCTAGTCTGTAGTTTTGCGAGGTCTTCATGACCCACTCGTCTTCTCACACATTGTGTCTCTCAAATCATATGATCTTGGTCATTCGGTGCTCAAGCTCAAGTTGCAGCTGACATATAATTATTCGTGCGTATATAGGACTCTAGTATTTAGTGGTATGGGATTTGTGCGAAATTAGGGGACTTCCTAGGGACGTTTGATGCCTGCGCTCATATTTGCGATGGTCTGAAAAAAATGAACAGCCCAAAGGTAGTTGAAGGCACAGCGACATGTAACCTTGTCTGCCGCATCAAGAGCTCCTTACTCTACTTTGGAATCGGGCTCCATGACAGTAAGTTACCAGACCAGTAAAACGTGATTGTAATGGTCTTGTTGGCACAGATGACGGAGGAGTTGGCCATTGTCTTGCAGGAGCCCAAGACACGCACCAAGTGACTCGCTACTCACTCATCATCCCCCTTAGGACCTTTGGAAAGAGGATGCAAGACTCTCTAACTTAGCCACAGCAACAAGAAATAGTAATAGTATTAGAGATACAGGGTAACTGTGGGTACAGAGTCAGGCATAGGAATGGATAGCCGACCAGCTGACCTACCTTGCATTCTAGATCGCTCTCAATACCCCTGTCCGACTCGCTAAACTTTGGCGTGATGCTTGCACTCCCTTTACCGGACTGACACAAAACAGTTTGAGCATGTTGGTGCAAGTTATCGAGATACGAAGAAAGTGCGTAGCCATCTTCGACAAGAAAGTTTTCTGGTCGATATCGCGGTGAGAGATCACGGCATGCGGTAGCTTGGGCCCGGGATTAGGGTTAGGCTCGAGCTTTTCAGGGAGATAACTTGTATGATCACAATCGCATCCACCGTTGGTCCGTTATCCATCGTCGGGCCTGCAATCATCAGACGGAATCTGAAGCTTTTTACTACGTATACTATGCTTGCCGCCAAAGTCATCAGTAAAGAGCCTCTGGATAACAAAGACGCGAAGTGAGAACGTTGTTCGTGCAAGTTAACTACTAATATCTAATTCATGCGTAGATGGATCCATCTCAAGAAGATCCACTACACTGATCAAGACGGAAAACACGTATGTTTGTTATTCTCAGGGCGTGATTATCTCGCTCATTCATCGGTAAAGAGACTTTGGGAATCTGCCGAACGCACAACTCGCAAGGACTCTGGAATAGATGGTGAATAAGATTTGTGCTTCCTCGTTATATTACTGCACAAACAATCATCCTTTACAGGCGTTGCTGTCCTCGCTGTTCTTCGTTCCAAGACCAATGCTTTCCCCTCTCGACGGTCATTATAGAGCAATACCGTCCTCCTCTCGACAACATCGTCATTGGCATGCTACACTTCCCTACTGTTATCAATCCATTCGCTGATTATTTTGTTCTGTTGCTATCGTAGAACTTCCTGCTGGCCTCGTTGATGCAGGCGAGACGGCTGAGGCAGCAGCCATTCGAGAATTGAAGGAGGAGACAGGATACGAGGCCGATGTGACCACCGAACCTGAGTCCTCACCGATCGTTGTCAGTGACCCAGGTCTGTATATTTTCTCAAATACAATTGGTGTACATTTAAGACATTTGTAGGGATGACCAATGCCAACATGAAACTCGTGGTTGTAAGTGTCCTCCTAGAAGATAAACTCGAAACACCTACCCCACATCTTGATGATGGTGAACATATTATCACCCGCGTCGTAGAGCTAGACCAACTCGTTAGCGAGCTCAAAGGTGCGTTTCGCTCTTCGATGGAACATGTTTCTAATCTTGAGGTTTTCAAGCATACGACAAAAAGGTGACACTATTATGCAGGAAAAGTACAAACCTTTGCTGACCAACACCCAGGGCTTTGTAGTGGATGCTAAGCTCTCTCACTTTGCAGCTGGTTATGCAATGGCGAAGAGGATCAGCAGTGGCGCATTCCCCTGAGATTGCTAAGGCAGGTCCTGACATATATGATATCCCAAGATGGAGTCGAATGAAAAGAAAAATATATTGTTGCATGTCCAGCATTCAGACTAGCGACATGTAAGATTGAACAAAACTAGAGTGCTAGTGATACGATTTTTTTGCACGTTCGATGTGTGCCCTCAACTTCTGCTGCTTCTCCCTCAAGGACGCCTTCTTCTTTCCCCGTACCGCACCGCTACTCAATATCATCATGATCGGCTTATTCCTTGCCTTCTCGCGATTTGTGGAGCTGCTTGGAGACTCTTTATTTTTCTTACCCTTCAACGAGCCGTACTTTTCCCGTCCTTCCCGACCCTTTTCAATACTCGCTATGCGTTCCGCGTAGTCAGCTTTAGCCTTTTTACGCGGACCGAGGATGTCGTTCTCAGAAATGAATGTGCCATCAGATGGCCCAGCCTGCATAGCCTTCTTGTTTGCTTCAAGGGTTGTCAGCTTCCGTTTTGCCCTGGAACCACCACCTGATTCAATAGCTTTTGTAGCAGCCTGTATACGCAGGTCATTCAGTAATGCGAAGTCTGCGGGCGTAAGGATCTGCAATACATGTCAGAGTGTCGCACAGGGGGTAGAAGAGATAATAGTTCACTTTAGTGGTTGCCAGGGTTGAGATTCGATTGGGGTTTGGATCGGTCTCTGATTCTGTCCCCCCAGGCGGTTTGTGAGCTGACTCCCGCTCGTCTTCACTATCACTAACTTCCACGTTGTCGTCGCCTTCGGAGTCGACATCTATCCATCCTTCAGACTCGGATTCCGAATCTGAATCGGTTTCAACATCCCAGCCTTCCCAAGCGGCTGCTTCATCGTCCTCGCCATTATTATCGGCATCGCTCATCTCCCCTTCGCGAAGTTTCTGCAGGTGGTCTTCCAGAAGCTGTCAAGTAGTTCAGGCATATTTTAGAATGTTAAAAATATCCGGATTACCATTAATCCTTCGATGTCAACTGCAGCATCCGCACTGTGTCCAAACGGCAGTGGTTGACCACCTTTGCTCATACTTATACTGGCATCTTTTCCCTGCAAAGACACTTAACGTTGGCAATGGTGAATTGAAAAGGGAATCGCTTACTCTCTCCCGGCGTTTGAGCATACCAGGGTTCACCTCGCGATACAACTGCAACAATCCTCTTGCAGCAGCTGTAACCGCCTTGTCTCGACTTCTCCTGTACTCTACAAGATCACCCAACAGATCTTCCTCCATTGCCCATGGTTGTCGTCTACAAACCTCCCTAATTGAGTTGATTCCCGCAGCAATTACCTCGCTTCCTACTCCAGGATGCACAAATTCGGCTGCAAGTTTCTGCACAACCGGGGTCAAAGCATCTGGTGGCGTGAGATCGTGAACAGACTGCGCCAGCGCAACGAGGATGGATGGGACACGAAGTTGGTGGTAAGCGAGGTATTTGACAATGTAGGTATAGAAGCTTAGGACGCAAAGTTTATGAGCGCCCATCACCCGCGAGAGGAGTTGCATGATGAGAATTTTATGTTCAAGTGAAAAACGTTTGTCATAGCGACTTAGGTTGTCATACAGCTTCTCAGAAAATGTCTGTGGGTCATTGAGAAGTTGGAGTGCCGGGAAATTCGGTGTCGTGGAGGTATTTTTGTTATACTTTTTCTGTATATGAGTTAGCAATGAGACGGAGCCAGAAAAGCATTCCTGATAACGGGGTACCTTCTTTGCAGCATTGAGTTGTTTCTGAAGCTTTTTATCGTCACCCCCGTCTCTTTTTGTTGACTTCGCGACGATGGTGAAGAGCTCTGACATCGGGACCCTGAAACAAGTATAAGTGGTATTCTGGCAAGGCAGATGTTGTCTACCTCATCTTCCTCGTCATCAATGTCTTCTTTTTCGTCGTCACTGCCTAGAAAGAAGTGAATGGAAGCACTCTGTACCTTCATCACAGGATGGAAGCATCCAAGCGCAACAATAGACACAGGCTTGGCGTCAGTCCTATTGAGGGGTGGAAGTCATATATATCCAGCTGCATCAGTCACGGGTTGCGCACCATATTCTCTTTCGCCACAATTCCTTTGTCAATATCACTGCCCACATAGCCTCCTCCCCATTATTGGCGGTTTTATCACTTGTGGGACCTGCGGATCTGAGCCTTCCTTTATCCCCAACAACTTCAGCATCCATTCCCCGTTCGACCATGGTGAAAAGCATGGCTTGCACAGCACGGTTCAGTTTGTGATTTTTGGTTCGGAGATTGGCAGTACGGATATCGGAGAGAATAGTTTTGCAGATAAAGGCTCGCAAGTTGGAGGAAGTTGTACGAGGGAGGAGAGGGAAAAGGGACTTAAGGAGCCTAAATCGAAAGTTTATTTGGAGGACATAATACAATAGTGCACCAAGACGCTTACTCGATGGATGTAATGACATCCTTGTTGCGCAACATAACAAGGTTTTGAACGAGAGTCTTTCTGGTATCGGGCATGAGGGTACCATAGTTTTCGAGGAGAAGGGTAGACAGATGGGATGGAAAGTCTTTGGTTTCCTTGGGATAACATTGTGCGACCTAAAATCACAACGTCGTCAGTGAAGCAAGTAAACTGTATAAAATTTTAGAGACGCACTTGAGATATAAATGAGACTAGTTCACGAAAATGCTGAGCCTGTTCATCAGGATTTATCTGAAATATCTGTCTGATACTGTCGTAGTGGTTCCATTGCTGTAGGAACTCTTCCTTGTACGCCGCTGGGTCACGTTTGATGAGGTTTTGCAGCTGAGGGAGATTTGAGGTGAGAAGGACGCCACGACCACCCATTACAACAGACAGTTAGATGCTGCAAGTGAACCGCAGCGACGATAGACAATCCTCAAGGAGGGCTCGTAACAGGAGCTTGACTTGAGGAGAGGAATATTTGCAGCTTACATCATCTATAGACTATAGTAGAACAGAGAACGTTCTCCATTCTTGCGATCAATCCAACGTTATAGTACAACACTGTGGTAAGTAATCCAAGCGACAAAGTAGGCTATGATGCCCCATTGAAACTAAAAGCATCACGCAAATCGGAAATCCGAGCTTGAGTTTTGGAACTGTATTGATTCGTCACTTTGATGCCAGCGGAAGTCGCACTGTCACTCAACCTCACCTCGAAGCCGCGGTTGACGTAGCATCCGAGTAGGCAGTCCAGAAAGACTTGCCAAAAATCGCCGCTTTCTCTCGCGATTTTGGTTCGTCCGAGTTTGTGATGTACTCTTCGAATGATGCGCGATCTAGTAGAGGAAGTTTAATCATCTATCGTTCGAGCTTCACTCGATGTTTCAGATGCCTACCTTCTATGTCCATGAGCGAAAGGAAATGGATCGTTTCGGTGGCGAGCACATCATTTCCATGAAGGACGTGTTCTTTTGCAAGCTTTGAACGTAAATCTGCCAGCGACTTTGTTTCCATAGAAGCGCCCTTACCTTTTCCCTTACCGCCAGCATTGCTGTGAGACGTGCCTGATTGTGGTCCCGTGGCTCGGCTGTGGTTGTGGGCCCTGTATCCGCACCGTCTTTAGTCGGTTCGAAGTCGGACACGGGTTCGGCTTCGTCATCGTCTTTATACAGTGGCACATAGGTCGATGTGCTGGGGCCAGCCTTCATCTTCCCTTTGGCTTTCGCGGGAGCCTTGGACGAAACAGCATTCTTCGCAGCTGAACGTGATGGTCCAACGCCGGGGCCATTATCCCTAAATGTCAGTTCGACGGGGAGGCTGCCGCTGAGGCATGCATCTGCTTGCGGACCAAGCTTCAAATTAATTCATAACATCAGGTCACCGGCAAAACGAAGACTGGGCCTTAATTACCTTCAAGTAATCATTGGTCCAGCCAGACGCAGAGGCCTCTCGTGCGATCGCAAAAATGTCAGCGCCTAGCATCTCACTTATAATACGGTCTCCATCCACGCCTTTGCCCACTCCAAACAACGACAATTGGTCATGCCCACTCTCACGAACCTTCGCCCGGTTCCGACCCGCATATACATCTTTGAAATGACCGAGGGCGATCCTATCCATAGAGGCTGCCATCTCTCCGAATAACCGGATTGCCTGCTGCGCCTCCAAGGTGTACAGCTGGCGAAACACTGTTCCACCTCTCGAACAGTTGTCACAACCTTTCGGGCAAAGGTGGGAGTCAAAACGCTCGTTGAAATGTGCGAGGATTAATGACCGTCGGCAGTCAGCCTCGTTGCGGCAGTACTGGGCCACCGCCGAGAGGTCTTCCAGTTGTCGCTTTTTCTCCTCTGGAGTCCGAGCTGGACCTTTGTCGTTGCGGTCGCTGTTGATCAACTGATGTCGTGATACGGCGTCCCTGTGTGCATAGTCTGCCGGTGGAAGGGTATAATACGTCAGGCAGCGTAGGGTAATCGCCATTGAAGTCGCTTACAAAGAATGCAGTCTGCCGGATCGCCGTCGCGTCCAGCGCGCCCAGTTTCCTGGTAATACCTAGGGCGGTAAGCAACTTGCTTAATGAAGCGTATTTGTAGACTCGTGACGTACCCATCCATCGACTTTGGTAACGTTGAGTGAATTACGAAGCGTACTATTCGACGCGGTCAGACAAAGGCCGAGGTGAACAAACCAAACTTTACCATCCGGTTTGTCGATTCCCATCCCAAACGCGATCTAGGACAACGTCAGAACTCAATGAAGCCACATTGTGAGCGCCATACCGTTGCTACAATTATCTTGCAGCTGCCACTTTGCCATTCTTCTTGAGTGGTGCTGCGCTCTTGTGAGTCCATACCGGCATGGTAATGTTTGGCAGACAGGCCATAGTCGTTTCGCAGTTGCTCAGCGAGTTCCTCGCACTCCAACTTTGAGAAGCCATATACAATGCCGGTATGGGCGGCGTGCTGTGACTTGATGAAACCAGCAATAGCTTGAACTACCTTCTTTTTCGTGGACGGTTTAGGCTGTACTGCATAATAGAGATTCGGGCGGTTGAAAGACTGCATCAAGCATAAGGGGTCACGTAAACCTAAGCGAGTACGGATGTCCTGGATCGCGGTCTTGTTCGCGGTTGCGGTGAGTGCCATGATGGGCACATCACGGTACCGCTCACGCAGCATATGGAGCTCTGCATACTAAGGATACAGACAAGAACTTGTCAAAGCACTCAGACCAGGTTGTGCAAACTTACGGCGTCGCGAAAATCCCGCCCCCAGCTCTGAATGACATGCGCCTCATCAATGACAAAGCGCGCGATTTGTTTGTCTTCATATAGTTGTGCTAGGATGTCTTGCATAGCGTTGCTCTCGCGTAGCTTTTCGGGTGTTATATAGCAAATGTCTGGTTTTTGATTACTGCGAAGGCGGCGCATAACATCCCGTGAGTCGTCTGCGGTCCTCAGGGAAGACATGCAGTCAACATTAACGTGTTTCTCTCGCAAGGATGCCACTTGATCGGCGATGAGCGCAACAAGTGGAGATATGACAAACGTTACTCCTTGGGTCCTACCAGTCTTACAGACTGCGGGAAGTTGATAACAAAGACTCTTCCCACCACCGGTGGGCATTAGGACGAAGACGTCCTTTCCGCCTAGCGTGGCGTTGATAGCTTCGAGTTGGTTTTGCCTGAAGGAAGTCAGCCGAAACACACTCTTCAAGACCGAAACTGCCTCGGCATAGTAAGGGGTTGATGTGTTATCAAGACGACCAGTGGGCGCAGAGGGAGTGCATGGTGCATCCGCGGAATCGAGCGTCGGAGTAGTCGAGGTTAAGGTATCCAGTTGCAATGTTGAGGGCTCGTCAAGGCCCTCCCAAAGGTCATCGCTGTCAGGCACAATCAAGGTCTCAGCCGATACGTCAATATCTTCTGGCTCAAGCGGGCCGTCGACATCGACATCTTCTGGTTCGAGGACACTCCTCAAATCAGTAGGCCCAGACGACACAAGAATAGATGTGGATGGAGCTGAAGCTGGTTCGTTGACGGGGTTGAAGCGAGCCAGGCGTTCTTGGATAGCTTCGATGCGACCTTCAATGTGAGCCCTACGTAGAGTAAGCAAGGAAGTTCACACAGTACTAGTACACTCACAGTAAAAATGAAATTTCGAAAATATCTAACGGGTTGTTTCCATGTTCTGATATTGCTTTGAGGAAATAGTCGCGAACTTGGCGGTTTCGGGCAAGTATTAGTTCCAAAAACCCTCGCGATCGCTGTAAAATATATATCAGAGTCACGAGGATGTGGAATAAGAGACAACAAACGGAGTCCAGGTCCGAATTCTTGACGAGCTGAGTGCCCGCATCAGATTGTGCAGTTTCTGAGGATGCTGGTGGTGCGGTAAACAAATTAAGACGAGATAGTGCATTTGAAGCAGGGTTTGGGTTCGATGCTTCGACATCGCTTGGGATTTCAGGCGTCCATTGTCGAGGAATGGCGCGAGATATTCCCTTTGACGACAAAGGAAGGGTATTGAAAATATTTTCTTTGTTAACGCGATTACTTTCCTTGAGCCGCTTAGAAGCTGATTGTTGAGCTCCGTCGGGGACATCAAGGGACTGACGCTTTCTGGATGGTACTGGGCCTTCCATGATCTCGATGGTGGGTTCACGACATAAATCGATTAGATCCCGCTGAGGCGAAGCGGACAATGGCGCTGGACGAGGGTTCGTCATCTTCCTTCCAAAATTTGGTGTTGCGAATGATGGAAGTGAAGAACTCGAGCCTGACATTTGGCGAACTGCGAGTTACTTAGATGAATAGCTGCTGTCTTCGTCATGAAATATATATTCACCAGTGGGATTTGAGGCAGAGTGAGAAGCGCCCAAGGCTGGCTTGAACTTTGATGATGATGAGGTCTGACAACGGGATCAGAATGATGGACAGTAATAGCTCGCTCGAATTTGTAATGGCACACCTTTGGCAATACGCTGCTCGAGATCATGTTTCCGTTGTGCTGAGACTGAAAGGTCCTCCTAACGCTGTCTAGGTTATTCTGTGGCCCCGCCATCTTGATAACAGGGATGAGCAGATAAGAACGAGCGGAGGAAGTACTTGATGGCAGGCTAGCTAAGCTTATAAGTTGTCGGCGTGAGACGAGTGGCTGAAAAAGTCAGTGAGACTGGATTGATTCGGATAATCGATAGCGATACGAAATATTGCCTCGAGGTCAAGTTGTAACGCGCGCGGGTCACGAATTCGAATAGTCTGGCAGCACCAAGAACGGCTCTTGTCCCATTCAATGTTAATGTAAAAGTCTGATGTTCGGCTCATCCCGATTCCCGAAGCGCGTCAGTCACACGTGACCGCGGCATGTATATTAGAGTCGCGTTCATCATCGACAACGACAACGACACCAACAATCATGTCAGGGCAGTACTGGTTCCCGAATATGCCAATACCAGAGATTATGACAGCCCTATCGGAATGGGGTTTGAACGTCAGCAACGAGCAACTCGTCAGGCCCTCCTCTGACTTTGTCATTGGCGTGTACAACGCCTGTTTAGAGCAAGTCACGTCCATATCTCCAAACGTGCTTCACAAATCAACCCAGCGTGCGCTGACCTCTCTCGACGATGCCAATCCTGTGCGTGCGTCAGTTATATGTGTAGCCATCTGTATCTGATTGTGCGTACTCAGGATCTCTACAACAACGCTATCTCACACAATATCATGCTCTACCACCTGTATGATCTGCACTCTCTTTTATATTTTCGTTGACATAAAAGCGAAACAGAACCCGCTTCGCGACTTCTGCACGCATTATGGACTTCAGCTCACGAGACCTGTCCGCACCAGAGCCAGAGCGTACACGCTTCATTCTCTCAGCGTTTATTAACTTTGTCAAGTTCGCGGAGCAATGCACCACATTTATCAGCAACGTCCGAGAAAAGTCTGCACAGGTCATAGAGGAGCGCGAACAAGTTATCCAGGAACTCTCAGAAGTTCAGCACAATCTCGCAGTACTTAAGTGAGATCCTTCATCTCTCTCTCTAGCATCTCATTAGCTTATGGTTTGTAGAGCACAACGTGCAAAGGATGAGCCAAAATGTGAACAGCTCAAGGAAGAGAATGCAGCCATGACCACCCAACTCCTTGCAGCAAAGGAGGTTCACACAGGACTCACCAAGGAGATCGAGAGTCTAAAGATTGAAAGGGCGCATCTCCAAGCTCGAAACGAAACCGTCAACTCAGAGTCTGCTCTCCTAATGGACAATAATTCCCGTACCCGATCGCGCATTGTGCAGTCTCCAGAGCGTATTAGGCGCAATATCATGACTATGGGGTCCACAGCTATTGAAGACAAAAAGGCGGTTGCATTGCACGAAGCAAAGGCACGAGATCTACAGGCAAAAATTTCGGCACTCGTGAATATCGAAAAGGTCACATTCCTCGTTGTGTTCACAGTGTGGTCTTGCCTCAATTGTCCAGTCAGGATGTCCGATCATGTATTGAGCAGCTGCAGACGACAGAGAAGGAGGTGCAGCTCCTCGAAGCATCACAAAAGGAGCTCGCGGAACTCAAAGACAGCCTTGAGTATAAGAAAGTCGAGCGCGGCGAGCTTCAGAAGAAAACCGAGGTAGGCCATGACATGTTCCCTGAATCAACACTTGTTAATGCATGCTCCTCAGCGAGTACACAAGCAACTTGGAAACGCGCAGGAGAAGCTTGAGAGGGCGCAGAGACACGCCGAGGAGAAGCGACAAGCCAGTCAGCAGACGGTTGAGCGCCTCCAGCGAGATTACGAGAAAATGGACGTTGAGCGGCGAGAGAATGACAAACAAGTAGAGGAACTCCGGATGGAAGCGGGCGACATAGAAACAAAGGTAGTCTTCAGTCCTAATCTCCTCACTCTTGCGTCCTAATGGTCCTTCGCAGATGGCGGAACATCTGAAGAAGAGTGAAGCAGAACTCAACGAGCTACTCACAGAGTATTGGAAGCTCCGTCACGAGACAGGTAATTTTCTTACTGTGTTTACATCCATCACTCAATGATATCTAGAGGTATATATGGAAACACTCGCGAACAAACTAAACATGAATGTTTCTTCGGACTGAGGAGTGTGCTTGCGAGGCCTTGAAGCTTGCAACCTCGCGATATGCAGGTCGATTTTAATTTATAGTATTTTGTCAATTACATGGTCAGTGACAATATTGATGGGGCAGGACAAGATCATCGTTTCTTCCCTTTCTGTGTCATCTTTAGTAGGCAATTCTGGCAATACCATTTCTTCGTCGAACTGGGGATTGCACTAAGGCCGGTACACGGCAGGTGGAACTGAGAATGAGTGTTAGTAATTGCCAGGGGAACACCTGATCCGCTAACCCATTCCAACTTGCAAGTATCACTGTCGCAAGCGATCATCTGGGATACAAGCCATGTGAACTCCATCCAAGTAAAGTCAAACACGACGCTACGGACCGTCTCGTATGACACCTGGTTACAGTAACAATACTTTGGCTCGTTCGGATCTGCTTGAGCTTGAGCTGGAATCTTGAGCTTCACACTCCTCGTCGTGCGAATGGCTGGTATTTTCAAAACTTCCTCAGGAAGTGGTGGCGGAGTCTCAGATTCGGGCTCCGATTTCTTGCGCGCCTTTCTGCCCCTACCGGGTCTTGCAGACTCTGCAGATAGTTCTTCTGTGGATTCTTGAGGAAGAATGATGGCGGAAAGCTCCGGGGAAAGTGAAGGCGTAGGGCTTCGTTCTATACGGGTCGGACGTACCCAGCGCGGTACGACAAGGTCAGAAAGAAGTATCGGAGCGAGATGTGTCCCTGGACGAATTCCAAGAGAAATAGATGCCTCTTGCTCCTTGATAGTTTGGTCCAAAAGACGGATATGTCGATCAACCTGTGCGACATATTAGAGATACGAAGTCAGAAGAAAGGAGGGAGTACCGTTTCGTAAGCAGTTTGTGCAATATTCACCTTCTCCTCTGAGGCACGGAGAGCCTCTTCTGATACCTGCGCAATCTGTTGCAGCAATACTCGAGTCGTTTTCCCTGAAGAGGGTAGTTCGATAGACGGCGGCTCCAGACTTGACGCGATAGAAGCAGCAGGTCTGAAATTATGTGCATCATTCAGTGCCCCAGCGGGCGAGTCAATGTTGACTTGTTCATCTCGAGGTGGCGAGCCTGCTGCCTGAGGCGAATTCGCCTGCATGGCCTCTGGATCTGACGCAGCTGGTATGGTCATATTGCTCTGCTTTACATCAACTATCATGCCCCGCCGCGATGTAAGTTGTATACGCAGCGCGATATATTTTCGCACATTATCCAATAAGTCTGCTTGGTAGGCTGAAAATGCACAGCTCCAGCTCGATCATACACGAGGGGGGACTTGGTTACACATACCGTTGCTTTGATCATCTAGTTCACGTATGAGCGTATACTGGCGGTGAAGAGACAATGGAAGTTGCTCGAGTACTACAACATCCAGTTCAGTACATTATTCTTTTAGAATAATCTTGATTAGCGTACTTTCATGATGTTCTTCCTTGAATGCATCCCAAATCTCGAGTTCTTTCTTCCGTTCTTCGGAGTAATGTTCTTCTCCAGCTGTATCAGCATCCGACGTTCGCTCTTCATAGCATTCCTCCTCAGCAGGAATAGCCTGAGAACGTCGACGCTTGCGAGACATGATAGTGTTTCACAAACTGGCGGACCGCTGCGGACCTTGACCGACAGCAACTGAGCACGTGACTAGTCAGATATGGCAAATTCCCAGACAAAGCATCCGTATCCTGAGCTGATGATATCTCCACAGCAGGTGTCGGACGCAGTCCACCGGCACAACGCTGGCGGCCAAGATGCCCTTGATCTCATGAGAACCGGCCAGGAGGCAAGTCCTGGTGGCGCTCGATGCCTTTTCTTTCTTAGATCCTCATTGTCCCTTTACAGCGCTTGATACAATTGTGCTTCCAATTACCGCGTGAGAACTCCCAGTCACCGGACCGAATGTTATTTGGGGGAGCAATGGTTGATCCCCCATCATCCTCCTGTTCTTCCTCGCTGGAGGTGACGGTGCAAACTCAGATTCAAAGTGCTTTGACAGATTTACGGCACCTGACAAATATACCTCCGACTCTCAAAGTCTTGAACAATCAGGTCAAAAAGGTCGGGGGTTCTACTCCGATATGCTCTGGAACGTACAGCGACATCTGGTTAGGAGAAATGTTAGGAGAGAAAGTAAGCCGGTCCTTAGAGATGTTATGTAACTGAATGACTGACACCTCCCCAAGGTCGCACTCAAAACCTTGCGCAGTATCACCGACCCTACGAAAGCCAGAAGAATGACTAAGGTATGGCGTAGTGTTCGTTTTCATGCCTCACAACTGTAATTGATGTGTCGTATAGCGCTATGAGCACGAAATGAATGTATGGGAAAAGCTTAAACACGACAATATTCTGACAATTTACGGTGTCATCACCAACTTGGGACCCATTCACATCGTAAGATCCCTGCTTCTGCAATCATGTTTATTACCTGATAAAATTCTGCGTTCCACGCAGGTGTCAACGTGGCAAGAAAATGGCAATGTACTAGAGTATGTCATGCTGGAATGCAGTACATCGCTGTTCTTAATCGTGCTCAGATACCGCACCAAGAACCCCGACATCAACCCCCTCACTTTGGCAAGTATGCTAGTAGCCCAATCATTGCCTCGAAACTCATCTTGACAACACTCAGCTCGCACAAGCCGCAAGGGGCATCGAGTATCTTCATGGAAGCAACATTGTTCATGGGAATCGTGAGTGCATTCCTGTACTTCGTGAGGACAATCGTTCTGACTTTACGATTAGTGAAATGTGTAAGTCGCTATGATTTGCAAGCGGATATGTTTGTTCATAGTTTTGGACCAGAATAATATGCTGGTTTCCTCCGAAGTACGTAATATTCAGTTGATAGCAAGGATCTGACTCAGTTCTCGATGCAGGGTGTAGTATGCATCGGTGACTTTGGACACACTCAGGTTCTAGACGAAGTGCTCGGGAGGGAGGGATTCACCGCTTACACTGGGTCCTCCAACGTGCGTTGGAACGCTCCGGAACTCCTGGGTGGCGACGATGTCAAGCCCACCAAAGCCAGCGATGTCTTCGCGTTCGGAATGTCTATCCTGGAACTTGTAACCAAACAGGCACCCTATTCGCACAGAAAACGTGATCTCACTGTTATCATGGACATCAATGACGGACATTTGCCTCCTCGTCCAACGGAGCCGGAAGATGTCTCACGGTGGATGCATGACGAACTATGGGAAGTTTTGAATAGGTGTTGGTATTTCATGGCTCAGGAGCGGATGGATATTGGAGAAGTCACAATCTGTCTTGAGGGACTCGCCAAGTATCTCGGGAATCATCCGAATTGGCAAACGGAAGAGGCCAATATTGAGATCGTTCAATAAGATGTTGTCCTCGCGTATGCTGTGATGATCTACGCATGTACATATGGTAATTACGTTATCAAAATGACCTCAGAGAGATCTGCGGCTTCATACTCTGCTGCACTGGGCCCGCTGCACCTTCGACAGCCTTCCGAATCGACATCTCAAGTACTTCCCGCACAGAGGGGTCCAGCTGAGTAGTGGCCTCCTTGAAGGACGCGGGCGAGCTAGCTGCCAGGGAAAGCAAGTGTGTTACGCCACTAGAGTGTATTGTCGATGGAGGCATCTGAGATGGGCGTAGAAGTAATGTGATTGTTGGTAGCAGGACACTCAAGAGACGGGAACCTGGACAATTGAAGTCAGTTATTATATGGTATTGAACCAAATCCGCGGGCACTAGTACTGACGTTGTTCGTCTTTGGCTAGTAAGACGAGCGTCGCAAATGTTTTCCAAACCTCGTCTATCGAGATGGCCTGCTGTTCTGACACCGTTCCATCATCTACTCGAGGTACCATTTTGGCAACATATTGGATTAGTGCGGGAAGAAGCAGCCGAACGCAGGCTCGAAGAAGTTCGCTTCCAGACGCAGCGATTGCAAGGGTTTTGGCGCAGTGAACAGCCACAATAGCCATCTGCTGAAACACAGAAGTGCTCAGTGACACGCATGAGAAGTATTGAAGGAAAAGGATACCTGGTCGCCTTCTTCAAGCTTCTGAGATATAAGGAAGAACAGGTGCTCCACCACATCACGAGCAACCGCCACTTGTGGAGGAATGACGGTCAAGATGAGCACCGCCGCGAGAAGGTTCGTTTTGACTTTTCTCGACGAAATCAAACCTTCGCGTCCCCTATGCTGCTTTAGCCTCCCACAAACATGTAAGTATTTCAAGAGCAAACCTCATTTCATCCACGTTCAAAAGACACGAAGACAATAAGCCGTGGATGAGCTTCCCGTAACGTTCGTGGATACTAGGATGGCATGAAACTGCCAACAAGGATCTGAAAGCCGGAAGAGTGGGAGTCACCAAATCCGCTTCCGATGTTTCATCTTTCAGCAGTTCTGGAAACGGGTTAAGCAAAAGAAATTGCCAATGAGATTTTCTTACCGCCATAGAGCACGCAGCCTATTCCCCGTACATCCTCTCGAATAACAGATTCTGTTGTTGAGGCAATGAGGTGGAAGGCACCCAGGGAGCCAGAAATCATCTTTGCAATATCAGGCAGATCGCCTTCTGCAAGAACATACATCGTGTTATGCAACAGCGTGAAGTCAAAAGACTTACGGATCGACGTTGTTCTTGGATTGTGACGAGAATGTCGAAGGGTGTAGGCAAAAATCTTGAGACAATGAATGCGAACCGAATCCGGAGGAATGGCTGCATTGCTTTGACTCCCCTTGCTGCTGGACTGCGTGTGAGATTCTCGTGAAGAACGATCTCTGGAAGACTCGCCTGAGATCACCTCCGGGTACATATTGGCCGAAGTGTTTGGCAAAAGTGGTCAGGACAGTGATCAAGTGAATGAGTACCTCTGCAGATTCTGTCATAGCCATTCGATGACTAAGACTCATGAATTCTTGAAAGATAGTAGGCTCCAAAAGGGCTTTCCCTGAATAGCGAGGATCAAGAAGGCATTTCAGTGCTCCCAGGCAGGCAATCATTGTGTCAACTCGTGAGCTGGTGTCTGGTGAGGACGTCGCGAGTGATTCATATATAAGGCCAAAAAGGGGGAAGAAAAGGGGTGCTGGCCCTTCTACTGCGGAGTCGATACCATTAACAGATGACCCCACCTCCTTCCCAAGGATGGCAGCTGAAATGTATTGATCGGAGCAATTCATGGCGTTCGCAACAGCTTGTAGGATCGTTGCCCAGGAAGAAGCGTAGTACTGAAAAAGTGAAATTCATTGATAAGAATCGATCAATAAGATTGAAACTTACTGGGAGTAGAACTACTTTACCGAGGCTTGCATACGACGGGTCTAAAGCCACCGCTGACGCATCGTGTATGAATTCGGAATCCGCCCGGATGATAGCATAATCGCGAAGGCTCGCAATCCATTGCGGTGCCAAGATCGATCTGTATGGTTTGATGACATCCAGAAGGTACGTCTGCTCAGAACTAGCAATTTCCAGGCGAGCCCATGCGGAGAGGATAGAAACCCTCAGCATGCCTGATGCATTTGGGCTCAAGTCCACAAAATTGCCCATAGTTAAGTTGCCAGATTCTTGGAAAGTATGACCATCTTTATAGATGAGATATTTTTGATATGCCTACCGTCAACCTCTCCGAGTGCTGTTGTAAGTTGTCTGAGAATTCTCCCCATTCGACTCACATCTTTGACAACGCCACAGCCAACAAATACTGCACAGGCATCGATGGCAGAAGACAGAATTTCAGGAGTGGAATCTGGAGAGAAAGCGGGAGTAAGTGCAGCTGTGATAGGTGCTTGATGTTGCTCAAGCAAGAGAGCGTCTGGATAGTCAGGATCTGGGGCCTGGCAAAACACCTATTGAAAATACATAAAAAGAAAAGTGACACAAATCAAAATGCACCTACCTGGATGACATCGCGTAATACGACCAATCCTTCTAGTCGTATCTCTGTGACATATGCCGCAGATGCTGTGAAGGCCATTTTGATCAAATCTGGGACACGAGATACAAGGAGGCCGTTCACTGGAATGCCGTGGCTACGAGCGAAAGGTATGTCGATGTGCTCTCTGCGTCCGAAGCGTGCAACTAGTGTGCAGATTTCATGCAAACATCGCAGTGCAAATAGTTGCGTCCTCCAACGTGACGTAGCAACCAAGGCTATGTTGCCTTGCCGTGTGTCATCGTTTGACATGGATGCACTCAACGATTGACCTTCGTCATCCATGAGGCTGTTGGCTGTATCGACCACTTTCTGGGAGGCATTTATGCGCAACATGATCCTCTGGCAAAGGTCAATCCAAGCGGATGGATTGTGAATCGCTGTCTGAAGTAGCCAGCTTGAAATTACGTTTCTGACTCCATCGATCGATGGGTCACCGTCCAGCATTCCAAACAAATCCTCCACGAGGCGATCTCCACCTAATCGAGACATTGCTAGAGCGTCTTTCTGAACCAATTGATAAAGGGCATCAATTGCTGCGAGTTTGAGGCATCTTCTAGGTGAATTAAGGTGTCTTCTGAAACGATTCACAATCTCGGGGACGTCCACATGCTCGGGAGCAAACATGAGGAGATGCTGGATGCACCTTATAGCTTCCACTAGGATGGGTTCATCATCTTCCACCGAAAATTCGTGGACAAGGTCAAGTACAATTTTTCTCGTCCTTGGAGAGTCATGAACGTCAGGGCCAAGAATAGTGATGATTGCATCCAGAATATAGCAGACAAGGGGGTAAGCTTGCAAGTCACCACCAATATTGGCGTTGTTCAGTGTTCCTCCCTCGGCTTCGTGAGTGTCCGACAGGTATATTTTGAGCAGCATTCCAAGAGTGCTTGACACGAATGGAGCGAAGGCCAAACTAGCGGCATTAATGACATGTCCCAATGCGCGGAGGGACCAGAAGTGGACCAACGGATGGGAATCATTGCTCAATGACATGAGAAGGTTCACAGTTGTTTTTAAAATAGGAGCTGCCGCGAGTCCACCGACATGGCTGTATAGGGACCCGAATGCAAGCGCACAACCAGCTCGTCCTTGGGGGTCGCGGTTGCTTACAATGTGATCGACCAATACCTTGGTTTGACTCGTCAAGAAGGAGCTTCCAGATATATTAGCAATGCGCCCAATGGCCTCGCTGCTAGCAGATCTTAGGGCGGGGTCGCCATCCACAAGAGCATCCTGTAAGTGAGATGAAGAACTCGTGGCCGAACGGTAGTTTGAAAGGTAAGCTTACTTTCAAGAATGCTCCAAGAGCTGAAGTGACTTGAGAGTGCCCAAGAGTGTCCTTTGATTGACGATGATGCGAGATCATGGAGACACGCAATGTTCGTACGATGGCCACAACACTATTCAGCATTACGGCAGCTCTCCTCCCAGCATTCTTGTCGAGCTTCGGAGACCGATTGGACTCTATCAAGTGATTGATTATGCGCAGGGTAGTGCTCAAATCTTGGGCTGGCAACAACTGAGAGAACAGTTCGATGGCGGCGTCACAGACCGACGACACGGGTGGTGGGGCATTAAAAGACCGGCTTTCCTCTTCTGACGGGTTTATCATAGAAAGAGAAAGTGTATCGTGCTCACAAGCTCCTAGTATCGGTTTGCGTAGCTATATGCGTAGATCAACATTTGGCAGAAAGATCCACAGATGGCAATGTCTTACCAGTGCACTTATTGAGTATTCTATGCTATCGCTGTTGCTGTGGCCTCGGCGAGGACTTTCAGACGTTGTGCTTTGGTCGACCCCGTCTTCGGATATTTCGAGTGTAGTGAGTCCATATGCATAACCATCTGTCATCTGCCAGATTGAAGTGAAACTGCCGGAAGTAGACGCAATTGAGGCTTGCATTGCAGATATGTTATCAATATCGGGACCTGCGAAAACAGCAAGGACGGCCTGCAATAAGCTTGATTGGACAGAATCCGTCAAAGTGGAAGTTCCAAGAGCGGAGAAGCATTGATATGCTCTACGTCGAAGAGAAGCCTCGCGAGTTCGAATAGATGGTCCAGTATCTTCAATTATCGAGGGTCCGGAAACTTCTTCAATAGTCTGTGACAAGAACACATTTGAAAATGAGAGGGCGTTTCCAAGCAGAGATGAGATTCTCCGGGCGACGTCAAGAGTGGTGAGTTGGCTATTGTGAAGCAAAAAACAAAGGATTGCCCCAAGCGCACTTTCGCGGACATGCAAGAGAAACTTCCACTCGGCAGCTGACCGGCCTGAAACGTTGTCTTTCGCAGTAGGTTTCGGTAATGCATTACGCCAAAGTACCAGTAGCTGAGGTAGATGTGACCGGACAAAATTTGGTCCAAGCAGCATCAGCGACGCAATCAACGTCCAGGCAACTTCAACCTCTACCCCTGCGACATGAACATCATGATCACTAACGCGCTTAAGGAGTTGAGTGGCAGTGTCAAGAACGCTGGCTGACACGTCAAAAGACACATATAGGGGGCGGTGTGGCACAATGGCGATGAGAGCCGCCAAACCATATGAATGACCAAGTGTCCGACGATCGATGTCCGAAGGAGCTGCAGGAGATTGAAGGGATTCGATGTCGCGTTGTAAAGACTCCGTGATCGCCAATATTGCCTTCGGTAAACGGAGAGGGGTAGAATAGCAGAAGCAACGGAGAGTCCAACTCGCATTGACACGAACCGAGTGACTTGGATGCGTAAGCAGCGTCATCAACGGTACAGAGACAGCGTCCTATGCCGAGTTTAGGAATGTACCAAAATTCTAACTTCGCAGGACTTACCTGAACCGGCGGAGGTGCATTCCCTAGTTGTTGCAACAGACCTGCAACCTCCTCTAGTGCTATTGTAAGGATAGCTGAAGATGGAGCCACCTGCCCCGGCATTAATGCTGGCCATCTTTTCAAGTATGACGAGGAAAGATCTTGAATTGCAGCTATTTGTCCCTGCTCGGTCAGCATTCGTACTGCTATTAGCTCTCGTAAAAGAGCGCCGACTAGTTTCCGAATGAAGAGTTTGTCATATCTCGTGGCTCCATTCTTTGGATAGGAGACGATCTCGGTCATGAGGTGACCAGCGAGCAGAGAATAGTTGGCTTCCACAAATACTGGCCCGAGTTTTGCCAACAGTGTGACGTAAAACATGAAGATTCCCGCACGGGTTTTGCGGCTGTGAGCTTTGTTAAACTGAGTGGAGATTTGTGATAGCATATCTCCTGGCGTCAAAAGGACTTTGGTGTTTTCGGCTGCGATATGTGCAGGAGTAGACATATCGGAGTCTTCTTGTTCCTTCTTGCCTTTTTGTGACTGCTCTGCGACTGCCACGGCACGTTCCATCTGGGTGCCTGCGAGCATATGTCCCACTAGCTGCGCCAGCGATTGCGTTGTCACCTGGTCACTGTTTTCAAGGCTTTTAACGCAAATGTTCATGATCGACTCCACATCTGCGAGCGTGACGGAATCTTCGGGGGTATACACGATCGCTAAGACCTACACACGGTTCAGTTCGCAAAATGCAGTTCACAGGCAAGAATCTCACAGCAGCAGCAGCTCGCTGGACGGGGAGAGCTTTATCAGTTAAACCGTTCTTCATTTGCTTGATTATGTCCTTTGCGAGAGAGTCGCTCAAAGCCTTCTTAGCTGAAACCAGGGTTTTCCGGAGCATAGTGAGCGCGTGATATCGGACATGCGGTGACTTCGATGGTGATGAGAAAACGAAAAACGAACAACCAGCGAATGTTTTACGCACCGCAGATGACCTCAATGTTTTTATGGCGATAGTGGCCGTTTCAGCCATAAAGGACATGAACTGCCTCGCGCAATCAGTGCGCTATAGGAAAAGAGGGAAATATCGAACCTGGGAGCCGAAGGCCTCCATCAACTCTCCAATCGTCCAAAATGCGGCGCTGTAAGTGGAATGTCATTCAAAAGTACTGATAAAGCATATATTTCGTGCTGACATTCGAGTCGAGTCCTTATCCGTGGCTTTGATGTCAGAGGCCGGCTTGAGCAACACCCTTAGCGTGTCAAATAATGACCTGGATTCTCCACGATGATACAAGACTAGAAGGCATCTTGCAGCTAGATTTCGAAGCGGCCGACCAGGAGAAGGGTATGGCTCCGAAGGTATAAGGACTTTCAGTAATGTGGCTTCTACCGAGGCTTGCGTCTCCTTGAGCGTTTCCTGCAAAATGTGAAATTGCAGGGAAATACAACCATCATGAATCCACATACGGCGCTCGCATTTTTGAGACTTCTCTCCAGATTCGACAACCACTGAAATAAGTAAAGCTCGCCACTGTCGGCCGTCAATTGATTCTGCTTGTTGTATAAACAACCTTGCACGTCTACTGCGAATTAATGCACGACATACCTCATCTAACTCTGCGATTTCCCCCTTGAATGCCATGATCCGTAACAACGATCGAATTGGAGAACTCTGAAGCTGCAGCACCGAAGCTCGAGGCGCAAGGAAGCGATGTACTACTCGGCCAGTAAGTGATGCTATAGTAGTGTAGTAGTCAATCTATGTAGTGCCAGTGATGCCTGGTGGCAGTACAGTATGACAAATTTAGAACGAATCATTCAAGCAATACTGCATGTGGTTTTGTGTAGCTCGACGCTTGATCGAGTGTACAGAACATGGATGATGTTCACAATTCAATCGGTTACATACAAGATGCGATGTGAGATAAAAATGCGATACGGTTGGAAAGTGGGGGGCATCAGTAAAGATTTGACGGGTTATACACGCAGATCAATCAGTTCTCACAGGTGCCCGTCTCACCAGGTATCGGCCAGACGTTAGCCACCACGTTACAACACAACATAGTCCCATCCCAGCTCCCTGTGCTAAATGAGACACAACGATCGCGGAAAGTATTGCTCCGCGGCCTTCCGTTTGGAGTAGAATGACAGCTTGATGGTGTATTTTGGTCATGGAGATCGCCAGGTAAGATAACGTGGCAACTAGAAGGAATTGCCATGTTGGCGTTGAGGCTTTCCATCTGTGAGCAGTTTTATTTCTGCTAAAGAAGGTCGAAGCGTATTGCGCGGCGTAGATTATCCGGGCTGCCAGGTTGATTATGTTTGCGTATACCAAAGAGACATCACCGAAGCCCGAGGCGTAAAATCCAATTGCAGATCCGATGAATACAACGGAAAAACCAACGAGCCATCTGATCATTTAATCAAGTTAATATAAGCCATGGTGAATGGAGTACACACCTGCTTTGTCTTCGAAGATCTTGAGAAGTTGCGATGCTCGAGAAGAAAGCTTCAAGTACGCCATTGATGGCGAGGGCAGGAATGTACCATATCCAAGCTGCAAGAACTTTTGGGGCGCTTGTTGGTAGGTACTGTGACGGGAGCAATAGGTGCAGAAAGATCGGAAGATAGGCTGTGGCAAATACAATGACAAGGACGGAGCAAGCCAGTTGAATGGAGACCAGTGACAGCAAGATCTCCGAAGCTTGACCTAGTGAGTGTCTATCAAACTGTGCACCAATTGACGTGGATTTTGCCTCAGCTGGGGGGCACAAGATTCTTGAAAAGTAAACTCTACATATTTCCTCCAAAGGTTGAAAAACTATTCGTGCAACCAGAGAACCTGTACAAAGGTTGAATCATCACTATACATGAAACAAACCAGTCTGGAACGATGCGCACCATAGTTCACGGCGATTGCGTACCCTCCTTGATCCTCCAAAGGGCTCCACCAAGACAATATAATCTTGTCTCCCTCTGTCAAAATATGTTTGACAATGGATTGCCCAGTCATAGTCAAAGACAGATGCAGACTGCTAATGTCAAAGTATTGCGAAGCAATGCGATAGAATGTTGATCTGACAACCGTGATCAGAGAAGTTAACTATTGAACAAGGGGATGGACTCACCTGAAAGCAGCGGCTTCAGATGACTGTCGTGTAGCAAGACGAGTCGGCAAAAAGGTAGGACACCCCATTTGATACACGTAACTGAAAAAGACCACACTACTGTATGCAAGTTGGCCCAGCGCAAAAGCCAAGAGCGCGAATTCCCCGGATTCTGGTCTAGTCGAGTCGTAAAGGAGGATAAGATAAGTGACAAGAGTCTTGCACGTTATCCCGAGACCTTCAGCTCTTACTCTAACTCCAGTGCGAACTTCACCCATGGCCCTGGCAAGTTGAGAAAAAAAAAGTATGTCACTGATATCATCTACATACCGATTATGCATGGGTTCGCTGAAGAGCTCGCTTAACGCGGCGAACACATAGATCGTTAACGCCACGTGAAAATGCGGCTGACGACGAACATCGTTGCTAGCAAGAGTAGAATATGAAACTGCCGTAGCTAGAGACACTGGAAGTCCTAGGATAATCGGCAATGCAGATAGATTTGTCAAAGCGGGTACGTGGTTGTCGTTAGAAGTTGACCCTTGGGTATGGATGGTAGTATTCCGCGGCCATGCTCTGAGCAGCGCATTCCTGATACCTTCCCTGCTGAGAAACAGTATTGTGCTTAAAATAAGCTCAAATTGGATTGCAGCAGTCCCGTATGCCTGCGGGGAGGCTAATCGAAACAGTGCTTGATTCAGGATAAAAGTTAATAGACGAGAACCAAGTTGAAGACCCATAAGAGAGAACAAAGAGGTAAGTGAACGTTTCAACAACCCGCCATCTTTGTCTGTTGAGCGACCTAAGGATGGTTGTTGGTTCATGGGTGAGATTTTGATAAGGTCACCTCTTAGTACTACTAGTGAGGGTGTTGCAGTATTCAAATTAACCTCGAAATGTGTGTTTGGTCGTGTTATGAGCGAAAGCTGTAACCTTTTTACATAATAATATATAAGGCACTTTGAGTGTGAGGCGACAATCTGACATCGGTCGGGCCTCGTACAATTCAAGAGAGCCAAAAAGGGGTTCCTCAACAGGCTGAGGAGTCTGGCTATTATTGTTGACTAGTAGTAGGATGCAACAGATAAGGAGCTGAGCTCCGAATTGACGACAAACGGAACGAACAAAACGCTATTAAGTATTTTATGTAATTTATGGCTATTTTGTATTTAGGAGGGACAATTAAAAAGAAAAAAAAAGGGAAACCATGGATGTGACGCACATAACTATACATGCACAAATGGCGGCGTGCATAGGTCCACAGGATGACCGTGAAAGAGCAACGCTTGAGCTTGAGCTTGAGCTTGGGCTTGAAGAAGGGCTGCCATCTATGTACACATAACGCTCCCAGGTTAGAAAGGGGACACGTGAAAAGTGCATTGGCCACCGTGGCTCGAATACGCTCAGTGACTGAGTGACTAAGAGTTTCATGATATTTGAGTCAGACTCAACCGGAGGACACATCGCCCGCGACGACACTAGGTATCACGCTACCCATTAGCATAAACTCCAAAAATCTTCCCGTGCGTGGTTTGACAGACAGTAAGCGCATTTTAAATCGACCCCTTCCCACTAGAGAGGTTCTCGAAATTCAGTCAAACCATGATATTTGTGGTATATACGGTCCGCCCTAGATCGCCAGTTTCCCGCTAAATATGATGATAGTATCTAATCTTGCCCCCCGTTGTCTCCTCCTAGAATCAGGTCTTTTGAAAATACAGATAGAAGCGTGATCCGTCTGTTATCAATTCACGTCTCATTGCCACACTGAATCCCGCTGAATCGAAACAATTGGGTACAAAGGAAAACTACCTTCTATGCAAGGGGGGAGAGCATGGACTAGTATACGAAGCAGTACGAGCAATTGTAGCAGGGTGCTGACTCCGTCTTTTGTATCGGAGACGGAGTCAGGGACCTGAGGTTCCTTGTATATAAAACTAGTGGAAAAAATGGGGGGGATGAACTTCAGGCGGCTGAATAAACGTCCTCACGTAGTTTTCAGTACTTGACCCCGAACACACTGATTCAATTCTCTGCAGCCCACTGGGGGCTTGGAGGTTAAGGTCTGAATGTAGACCTCAGTCCGATGGGACCACAACACTTGTGCAAAGATCATTCTTTTTCCGACTCGAAATTTCAGCTTGTCCGTTCATTCTGTGCACGGAAATTGTCGGCCATTTCACTGTTAAAGAACCAGATCCTATGGAAGCGACTTTGTATCTCCGTGGGGAGCGCCTTGGATGTTGGGTGTTGTAGAACCACTCTGCTGAAGATGTCGCATCCAAACCAAGAACTGGCAAATGACCTTGGTCAGTGAAGTCAATATATTTAGCATGGTGCAGAACTGCGAGAAAGTAAAGGGAAGAAATTGCAGTTCGGTGCAGCCAAGTGGGAATGGCGTGGTAGCTGACACGAATTTGCCAGGCTTGTTTGTACTTACTCGAAGCTCGTGGTTTTTCACGCAGTATAATATTCTTCTACTTTGGTCATAAGCGGCGAGAAAAAAATCCGCAGGACTGGTGAGGAGGAATGAGTAAGTATGAGACGCATGCACTGGCGTGGTGTCAACTCCAACTAGTATTTTTTCAGTGGAGGCTGCAGATCACGCATGTTATGCAAGATCCGTTGTGACTATGCCACTGTCAATAATCAAATCATTATGGATCATGGCTGGCCGTTGCGCTGCCAACACTGGGAGCGCTGCAGGAATAACACAACACGCCTGGTAATTGCCAACCCTACGTCGCTCATCGCCTTAATCACGGGATCTCGAACTCGAATTTGTCATGAAGAATAGATGAACCGATGTGCCACCAGGCCTCACCCAGTCCACAAATGTTGCCCACACGAATTTTGCAAGAACACGGAAGAATTTCTGCCCTCCGATGATGGTCAACCTTGAAACGAAGAAGCCTGTCAGTACTTGTCAATGATGGACAGCCTCGAAACAAAAGAAATCCTTTCAGATCCCGGTGAGGGCCTATCAGTTCTAGTTAATGATCGCGTTCTGTAACTCACGTCTTTCAGAACACACATATCATCTCGAATCTCCCCTCTGAAGCCGGTCGGATCAGATAACCTAGATCCTTGCGAGAAGAATCAAACCACATCTAGAGGTGCCCGAGATATGCTTTTGGACAGCCACCCTGCATCTTTGAAGGTGAGGTGCGGAAATGGACCAACGACGGTGAATCAATAGAACAACAGTCGCGTCACAGATGCAGGCTCTCGAGTACCATTTGTCCCTCATCGCAATAGAGGATATGCCTGAGTGAAGACTGACCTAGATAATTATCTCGACGACCCTCATGTTGTGCAAGAAACGGCTCTAGTCGGCTTCCGCTATACACGTGCCGGGACTGGATAAGATCTCAGTAAGTGAATCTAATCTGCAGGCATCCGGACGGCTCTGATATGGAATTCTATACTCAGGAATCCATCCTTATGCAAGTCTGGGTTTACGGTCACTACTTACTAGTTGTCGCCACGCTCGAACCTATTGGGCCTGCCGTCATCCCCCTATTTCTGGAGTCCGTTTCATGAAGACAACACCTCAGGCCTCAATAATTGCTTACTCTCTGAGGATGTTATCGGGATTACGGCTAACGAGACGTCGCACGGTGATCGCAGCAGAAGCATACGAGTCCTGGAATCGGCAGACCTTCGACACTCTGGCGATGTGAGTCCGAGCATAGTCACAATGAATGATCTCAGTGACTATCGAAGCACATACGGTGCATGACACGCACCTCAGTCCCGTAAATTTTCCTGCAACATAACGCCCAATTGAAGACCAATGTATTTCAAACTTCTCGCATGCTCCGGCTCGATTATCGCGCGTTTGGATACCAACTTTTTGCTTTGTCCCGCTCCTCGATGATGCGCGTTGCGCAAGGACGGACATTGTTTTGCTGGGACATCCAATAAACTCACCGTGCCCATCGCTTAGCCTAGAGCCCTGTCGACTATTCGCGTCGCTCGCTTCCATTTCGACGGAGTAGAGTTCGAGGGTGCCAACGTGGCAATAGGACGTACACAATGAAGTGATAGTTCCTCAAGTTATCCTTCGAGTCACTCTTCGCCACCCTTACTTCCATTCTTCGACGTAAATACCCCGATGTTGGTTCCATGGTCGGATTGCCGCTGAGAAGGAAGGGCCAGATCGCGCCGTCAAGCTGGGAAATTGCATTTGGCCGTATAGTCGCCACCTTGTAAGTTGACTGCCGCTGGGCCTGGTCGTTGCACATAAACGGGTACCACTTGCACATGTTCTAGGTTCGAATGATGACCCACCATTGGGCTCGGCAGTTGCCCTCAGAGGAGCCGAAGTCTTGAGGCTCATCACCGTGGGTCAAGCGTTATTACCTCAGGCGCATCTGAGCGCTAACTTTCATACCAAATTCTCTCTGCGCAGATCCCTTCTCGCTCCCAGGCTCAAGCTTCAACCCAAATCAAACATCTTGGCAAATTCCATCACTATCGATATCCGTAAGCAAAACGTTCCGGTGCAGGACCATGGAAACCCACCGCCGCGGAGCGCAGAACACAGCGACGCTTCACTGCATTCCCGCGAGCTATGGGTGCCTGTGGATCGAGATTCTGTAAGGGCATACGATTTAGGGAATAGCGGGGTATTGATTGACGGGATCGAACCGCAGAATCACGGTGGGGGTCACTACCGGCCTCTTCAAAGGCTCGACTTAAGATGAATGCTGCGCAAGGCGAATGGGCGCATTATCCGATTCATTTGCTTGTTACGTTCGTTCTCCTCGTGGCCTTCGTGCGGAGTATGTTCTAGTATCCACGTTCCAATATAAGACATAGAATTTGACAGAGGCGTGAATTTAATTGAACTCAAAGAACACACCATGTTAAGTGACTCATGTCGAAGCAAATGGAGATCAGTCAAAGATGGCAAAGGCAGCAATGCATCAAGCAAATAGACCTAGGCACAACGAACTACGAGGTATGGACAGTGCTATATAACAATACAGAGGACAACGCAGGCAAGGCGAAATGGGATGCATGTAGGTTGAACATATAAGCCCTCCGTTTAATGTACAAAACGACATCGCAGGGGCACGTCGCACGAAATCAAGAAGTTAAAGGGGGAGATGGAATCCTCCGAGATGCTATACACCTCATTTAGTCGTCACCGTGATTCCGCCCATTGAGATGCCCAGAGTCGCTTGAGCCTCCAGCCGAAGGCGGCTTGCCGTACATCTGGGGATACGGAGCGTAATGGGGGTTCATCATCTGCATCTGACCGTCAGGACGGTGCGGATACATGTACCCATACGACTGTGGCGCATACGGAAGGAATGCGGCCGGAATATACTGGGCCATGGACGGGTAGCCCTGTTCTGGGTCTTGACCTGGATGCCCATTCTGTCCAGGATGAGGGACCGGCGTAATTGCATAGAACTGAGGATAGTACGCTGGGGAAGCCTCGCCAGGCTTGGGAGTGGGTGACCCGGGAAATTGACCCGGGAACATGGAATACCCAATGGGCGCCATATACGTCGCCTGTAAAGGCGGCGACGCCGACTGGGTTGGCACTTCCGTCGTGACGGGAATGCTGGGTTGCTCGGGCACATCGCCAATGTCGGCATTGGTGCCTACGCGATCTCAACGACAGTCAGAACGAAGAGGAAGGAACCAATCAGATAAGAGCATGGGTGGAACGAATGGACGAGTGGCGTCTCAGAGTACTGCACAAATGGAGGGAGTATGATCTTACCTTTGCCATCGCGCTTCTTGTAGGGTCCCCTTTTCACGCCTTTTTTCCTCTCCTTGCGTTGGGAATCGACACACTCTTCAGCGATGCCATATTTGACGCAACGGAGGCAAGGACGGGCGTCGTCACACTTCTTGCATGCCTTCTGGCAGTTTGTGCAAGCGTTCTTGACTTGCCTGCGCTTGGAGCGGAGAGGTTGTGTGGCAACTAGGCCGGGTGGGAAAGGATACATATGCATGGGCATGCTAGAATAGCCATTGACGGGATGAACGGTCATTTGAGGCTGAAGGTCTGTAGACTGCGCCTCAGCGAGGTCGTCGCCGTCTGGCGTTTGATTGCGCTCCACAGAAGACATGCTGCTGAGGGCGAGAGAAGAAGAGACAATATGTGGCAACCCTAACTATGGTTCAAGATTGTTGACTTTTATGGATGTATAGGAAGTTGAAAGAATATTGCTGTGGGTAAAGGCACGAGGTAAGTAGGAAAGACGGTGGAGGAGCGGAAGAATTAGTACGATTCGGAAGATTAGCTCAGGGCTCTTTGCTACACGAGTTCGACGCACTTCCGGCCCTTGGTCCCTGTTCTTGTTCACGTGGTGGGAACCGAAGCCGTACAGCTCGTAAATCTTGAGAAGTTCAAGGACACCGAAGAGAGGCTTGTGAGTTCAAAGATAAAAAGTTGGCTAAGCACACAGATATACTGGAAGACGATAAGCACATGATGGCAGATTGTCAATTGACAGCAATATGTCAGTTTTCGATTGTGAGAACCTACCTCGACAATGAGACTTTCGCTGAGATGGCGGACTAAGGCGGACTGTCAGTGATGGAGTTAGAAAGTAAGAGGGGTCGGATGTTGCGCTGAGTTCTAACACAACCCTTTTTATCCTCTAGCAGCCACAGACTTAAATACCCGGAGGACGACCCTGTGTCATATTTGTTTTCATTTCACACAAAAAGACATGGCCAAAGTCCACTTTAGCTTTGTTTTTAAAAAAACTAAATCTATTGATTATGTAGAGAAGTTTACAATCGCGTACCCCTTTCAAACCGAATAGATACCGTCCGGTACGTCGTTCCATCGGCTATTTTCGAAAATACCCACTGATTAGGACAACCGACCGCATCTTCGGACTTGTCTTTCTTTGAATTGGATCATGGGAATCAGTCAAGTGAAGGTTGAGTCAAGTGGAACATGCTCCAGGTGGACACAGTGTGTGGTCTACACAGTATGACCCACTCCGATTCAGATGACGGACAGTTATTCAAACCAGCGAAACGACGGCGGTCTGCCGTTTCTCGTGGGTCCGCGTGATGCAACTATGGGCACCCGAATTAGCCTGGCTCCGCGCTTATACCTGGATACCATTTCCGAGCCCGCGATTCCTCTTCCCCGTCAGGTTTGCCCGGCTAGCTACGTTCCTTGCACATGGTGTCTACATAGACCTGCTCATTGCCCTTCATATGTGTTTCCAACGCTCAGGCCATCTCTGCCACTCGCAAGCCCTTTGTCCTGTGATATTCTCGTACGAGCCGCTTCCGCCCAATTCAGAACAGTGAGTAAAAATGTACATACATTCAATTCTTCACGTCATATCTTACACACTCCGCGAATTTTGAACCAAGTTTATAACCTGACCTTGTGTAAATTCTCAAGGTCGGCTTAATCCAGCCGCGGTGCCTCCTTTCAAAACACGAGCTACAATTCAGTTGGCCAGAAAGCTTCAAATAAGGACGTATTGCGTTCCACGATATTTCCCCGCTCGTGCTGCATCGTGCAGGTGGTGAGCCGAGATTATAATTATGATCAGTCTGCCATTCAGTATCTCAATGGCGTCAAGTTTCTCCTTCCGCATTTGCGCTATATCAATGCTATAAGGCGGCCGGATCCTTATTTTGCCCAGAACCTTTACCCAAGATACCGTCAACGTCAGTGCATCATGTTCCGCGATTCCACCGTTTTCGACGGAGATGACAATCATGACGCTTTTCGAATCTCCCCTTACCATCCGCGTTCGGCAACTTCATACGCCTTACCAATCGCCAGCGGCCAAGTTACGGATACCTATTTTCAATGACCTCCACCTCAGGTGTAAGAATTGTGTAACAGCTTCCTTTTTTCAGTAAATCTATGTGCTGAGTCATTCGCTGGCAATTCGACTCAGCGCCTTGATTCTGCAGTTGCACAGCGCCCTACACACGCAGGCATTTGTCAATGTTTTCCTTCAACATATTGAAGCACATCGGGGAAATAGATAGAAATTCACGTGTTTTCATAACAGGAGTACAGTGTTCCCCCAACAATACGTCAAACATACATACATGTCAGGCCACTCATCATTGGCAGAGCAGAGCATCCTATATTTTCAGACAGAAAAAACGGGATCTTTTCGTTTCATGTTACTTGCAAATAACACCACGGGGACATAGTAGATATTTATTCAGTGTTCCTGCTTGTTGGAAAACATTAACAAATACCTGCCTGCAGTGACAGCGCCCACTCATCGGTTGTTATCATTTTCCGCATCATGGCCGAGGTTTGGAAGTCGATGTTCTTTTCCAAATTGAAACAGGAGCTTATTAGGTATGTGCTTTCTCGATCATCGTGAAATTGTGTTCGCCTATCCTATTCAATTGTCTTTATGCCATGCACGAGGCTTGTGAGTCATGTCATATCCGATAATCATACTTATCTTGCGAAGCGACGGCTGACCTTCGTAGACTTGATAGAGTCAAGGTTCACGACCACTTGCAGCGTGGAATCCTTACGGTATTTTGCCAGGATTATCTTCTGCTTCTACAGGAGCGAGAATTAAGCGGTTTATATACCTCGATGTTCTTACATATATGAACTCTAGCGTTGTCCAGTCACCCCTCGAATGGACGAATCGTGGGACCGATGACTGGCTAAAAGTCACAACGCGGCTTATAGATATGGGAGTGGACCTATTCATGAGTTTCAAAGGCCCAGGATCTTCCGAGTCATATCTCCGCATAGTCATGGCTATTTCTCATCAATCACCTTGTTCACGTCGATGTTCGACTACAGCCTAATCAGAATATCAGATCCAACTGCCCACTACCAGATCTTTGTTAAAGTGGGTAGCGATCGATAGCATGGTGACCAGTACGTATATTTTTTCGGTAAATGTAAGCATTCCCTCAAGAACAATGAGGTGGAAAGCCATTGCAAGTGCAAATAGAGCCAAATAGCGGGCGCTGAGGACCAGTGGAACATTGAGAGAGCCAGCAGACTCTGAGAGTTCTCTGCTCACGCTCTTGCTAGTCGTCGTCAACAACGGCGACCAGCATCGCTATCATACTACCAAGCAACGGTCGATAGGTATTGGGATTTGGTCTACGTTTCTCTTTTCTTTGTTCTTTACCCACTACGTGTTGCTTTTTTTTGAGTTCCACGGTGTCGTTTACGTGTTTCTCTCACTCATTCTTGGTCTTCCTCTGGAATGTCGGCCACGTCTGCGCTTTTAGAGGGCCAACGTGAGCACGAACTTCACCTTTCGTTTACTACCCAAGGAGGTGACAAGAAAATTACGGACGAGGATGATGGCCTAGATATGCAGCCAGTCCATCACACACAGGTAAGGTCGCCTCAAATTCGTGTCAGAATCACACTGAAGATTTAATCAGCCCAGGCTCCACATCTCAGCGGCACCGCCTGACGACGAATTGTCACAGATGGACACAAACGCCGAAATCCCATCGCGTTCAGGATCAGTTTCATCCTCCCTTGACCCGTACTATTTTGGCATTCAGACCCCCGCAGACTCGCCTGCACCGCAGTTGCCAGAACCAGGATTTCCTCCCATGACACCTGAGACGCGCAGCCCAAATGAACCAGTTACACCGGGGCGCGATCCGGCCAACATCGATAGGATGGGCCTCGTAGGTGTAGGCGAGCTAGCTACCCCAAGATGGGGTAAAATACAGAGGGATACGCATGATGAAGATGCAGATGGCCATGATGAGCAGAGTCACGGAGATGATGTCCTCGAGGAGGATGCGGCCGAACTCGTCATTAGCGAGGTCGATAAGGATGGTCCCGATAGTCCATGGACCATCGAGGCAGTCGATGGCGAGTCAGACGGCAAGGATGAGGTATGATTTTTTCAGATTAACCTTATATAAACTCACAGGTGGTTTATAGCCAGCGGACGTAAAACCTGTTACCCGTGCTCTCCGCTCACGTAGATCTATGGCGGATGAAAGTGGAGGCGAGGAAATTTTGTATCCCCGCAAGCCTTTTGGCTCTGAGTTATTACATCCCACTCATTTACCTAAACACCCCCCTGCATCTCCAGAAGAGCCACCCTCGCCACTTATACCACCCCTCCCTACTGAGCAGCCCTTCATCGGTGGTCCAGTGGTTGCGTCTCCTCCTCCTAGCGCTTTTACTTCCCAGCGTAAGGCTAAGAAGCGCACGTCGGACGAATTCGAGATGGACCACACAGGTTCTCTCGTCTCCAAGCTGTCAGGTGCTCCAAAAGATCGCACCAGCTCAACAGCCAGAGACAAGGATGAGAAATCTGCATCGACGCGCAAGCATCGTAGCATTGGGTCCAGTGTTTCTGGGAGTACCTCCCGCGATCGTGCCCGGCGCCGGGAAAGTCTTGCCGTTAGTATATCAAGCAAACCTTCTGGTGCACCCCCTCCGATGGATGCTACCCCCGTGCGTTTAGAAAGGGAGAAACATACGCGTCAACTTTCCGCTGGATCTTCATCTTCGAGCCATGAAGCTGCCCTTCACGCACACTCTCGGCGTGTACATACCACAGATTTTTCCCACCTTCCCCCCTCTCCTTCGACAACCTCTATCCAACATATTCTCCGGCACGCTGGCAGTGCCACCAGTACTACCAATCCGCCTCTGCGTCCATCATCATCCCACAAGGATATGACACAGCCTCAAGGCCAATCGCTTGCTCATTCCTCCCCTAGTGTTGCACACTCGCTTCTCCGTGGGACGCAGGAAGGGTGGTCGGGTTTAGATGATGATGCTCACGCTGATGCTCTGCGTAAGCTCGATGGACTGTCGATGAAGACCGCACGCGCACGTGCGAGCGTTGGGAGTTTCGGCAGGCCCTCGAGTATGAGTCGCCCTGGAACACCCGCTGGCGCTGCTAGCAGATCTGGGGTGCATTGGGAGGGCGTCAGCTCCGATGGTGGAGGCAAGATTTCTCGCCGGGGCAGCGCTAAGGACAGGGAGAGAAAGGAGGAACTTTCTCAGCGTCAGCCTATTGGCCTTGGTATTTCTCTTTCTGGGGACAATTCGCAGGAGCATTCCGAAGTCCGAGGTGGTGGGATTATCAGCAGTGACGAACATGCATATAGCTCATCTGGCGTTGAAAAAACTCCAAAAAAGCCGGGTTCCATGAGTACACGCTTGAGTTTCACTCCAAAGCGTGGGTCTGCGTCATCCACTACGTATACTACCACCCCGACGAGTTCGCGTGATTCCGCATCTATGTCAACGGCCACCAGCGTGACTTCAGTATCTGGCCCCTCCGCCTCTGGTCGTCATTCGACTGGTGCAGGAAAGGGAAGGCGGAACAGCGCGGGTAGCGATATTTCCAGTGCATACTCAGGTGGTGATGTAGCTGCGTTTAAGGACCGTCAACCTTCCTTCGCTGCCAGCGGTGAAGCTCTGGAGGAAGATCGGGTACCCCCCGTCCCACCGTTGCCCAAGGACTTATCTACTTATCGTTCCCCTCCCCAATCCTCCCATGGAATTGCCTTCCCCCCTTCTGGCGCTGAGGAGAGCGATATTGACCGCACTATGTCATTAGAGGTCCCCCCTGGTTCTTCGAAGCCACTCTCACATTCGCACGCCCAATTCTTGCAATCGTCTGCGAATCGTGGAAGCTGCTCCGCTCCCGAGTCTGCTCCTTCAATCACCAAGACGCCCTCGAAGAAATGGAGCTTCTCCAATGCACTCAATATCAAGCTCACTCCATCGATGTCGTCGATGAAGGGGAAAGATTCGCCGTCGACCAAGTCTTCGGGTTTCCCTCTCAGTCCCCGATCGGTGCAGACGTTCGGACAACAGCTGCGGAAGTCGGGATCAAGGGAACAAGCACTTTCTCCTCCCATCGCTCCTGGTGCTTCTTGGTCTCCTGGTCACCCAGATGCCATGGCATCTGCTGCATCCCTGGCATCCATGTCTTCTGTCGGATCTACTCGCACTCCGAAGTCCCCTGCTGTCTTATCTGGCAAGGCTCCTAGCCGCGCTGGAACGGCTTCCAGTGCCAGCCATCACACGACGTCCGCCCTGTCCGCTGCTCATAATGCCCCGCTCAGCCCCTCATCAATGCGGCGTCACCAATCTAAACGTCTCACACCATCATCTATACCATTCTTCCGTCGCTCATCCTCTCAGAGCATGCAAATGCCCCCTTCAAACCCAGTTATCATGTCAGTATCGCCGACGCTATCATCATCAGGCACTGGTGCTTCTGCCCATCACGTTAAGGCAAGCCGCTCTCCAAACAAAGAATCAAGTCGTGCCGTTCCGACTACTCCCGCCTCTTCACAGAAGAAATCGTCTGTGCTTAGCCTTGGCCTGCCTTCATTGTTGAAATCTAGTTCGCGGAGAAGTCTGCATGGGGATAAGTGTGATCCTGGCACTCCCAAGGAGGGCAAGGAAAGCGCGAGGTCCAAGGATTCAGAGAAGGAGAAGTCGAAGCACGACCAGAAGGATCGTAGTGAAAGCAGGATATCTTTATTGATGGGACGCAAGAGAGGCAAGGTGTGTACCTTCCTGCTGTTCAAATTCGGAACGAATCTGACAATGCTGTGGGCTTACCACTACCAGACTCTATCGTCCACAGATCCGAAAAAGGGTGCTTCTGCTATTGCTTTACCACCCATGCAGATGTCCGCATTACCTGCCACTACTGCTCAGCGTGTTGCGAATTTAAAGAACAGTTCCTCGGCGTCTACCCCTGCATCTACCATCACTCGGACACCATCTACATCACGTGTGACCTCGCAGACTGTAAGCTCAATGCAAAAGCAGTCAGATGCTTCGCTGCGGAGTCGAAACCAGCCGCTACCCACAATCGCCGGGTCACCATCGGTTGGAACCACTGGGTATAGTGTGACAAAAGAGTCAAAGGATTACCCGCCGTCGGTGCTACTGAACTCGATAGGTGGCATGTCAAAGGAAACGCCGACTAAGATTCCTCGCATTTCAAGCCGCACCTCAGCTGCAGGATCTCCAGGACTTGGAGGTGCAACTGTATCCAGTCGTCGCATTAGCCTTAATGTCACTGCGCCTTCGACGGACCCTTCACCCACGCCTGCTGATCCTACAATGAACGAGTTTGGTGTTCTGGAGAATGGTGACGCACAAATTGCGAAAGCATCGGGCGAAACGACAACGACAAGGCGGCTCTCTGTTCGAGCTTCTCCGTCAATCAATTCCCGAGTTCCAAGGCAGGTCTCTGGGCCTCCATCCTCTGGCGGCATTCCTCGAAAGCCCAATCGTGATTCGGTCTCTTTCAGCACTTTACGTAAAGCGTCCACGGGCTCTGTGGCCTCCACTACCTCGGTAGCTCCTCCCAGTGAAACAACGCACTCGCATAGGTTTTCTGCTTTGTCTCCGTCAAAAGGTTTGAAACTGCTTAGCCCCAAAATTTCTCTCTCCACACGTTCTTCAAACAACAATAGTTCAATATCTAACGTACACCGGGCTCAAGCAGGGACTCCTGCCTCGAGTCGTCAGTCGCTATCCACTCCTTCTCCAGTCCCTAGCACCATTGATGAAGAGGAGCTCCTCGGCGATGAAGAGATGATGCAATACATCAGACGGCAACAGACTAAGAAGATGGCACACGGGGCATCGCAGGCTGAATTGGACGATCTGCTTAAGTTTCCAGAACCAATAACACCAAGCCCCGGATCGACGCCTCAGGGTCAGTTGCTTCCTACCCCAAGAAGTTCAATTGCTGATCTTGCATGCAGAGGTGTTAGATTCTTCCCAGGCTCAGTTCCTGTCCGATTATGAGAAGGAAGAGATTCTCAACTATCCCCAGGTTTACTGCATAGGTTCTGGGAGTCCGAAGAAGAAGGCCCATCCTGAGATTGTTGTCAACAATTTCGGCTACGATGATGAACGTGGCGATTACCAAGTAGTCAACGGCGATCATCTCGCTTTCCGATACGAAATCATGGATACCTTAGGCAAGGGCTCGTTCGGTCAAGTGCTGAACTGTAGAGATCATCAGACAGGCGAATCTGTTGCGATTAAGATCATCCGCAATAAAAAGCGTTTCCATCACCAAGCACTGGTGGAGATAAAGATCCTAGACAATCTTCGTAAATGGGTGTGCATCCATATTTACACTACTCTCAAAAGATGTGTTGACGCGTCTTTCAGGACCACGAAGAGAAGCACCATGTCATTAAGATGACCGAGCACTTCTACTTCCGCAATCACCTCTGCATTGCCATGGAACTACTTAGTATCAATTTGTACGAATTGATCAAAGCAAACGGTTTTGTTGGGTTCACAACCGCTTTAATACGACGCTTCACGAGCCAGATGATATTGTCCCTGTGCTTAATGCGGCATCATCGCATAGTGCATTGCGATCTCAAGCCAGAGGTTCGTCATTCTCGCATTGCATGCTCGTTGTCTTATGACTCTGTTTAGAATGTCTTGTTAAGACACCCTGCGAAGAGTGCTATCAAGGTCATAGACTTCGGCAGTAGCTGCTTAGAGCACGAGAAGAGTGAGTTCATTTTCACTATGGTCCCGAAGATCTTACTAAGCTGTGTAGTCTATACCTATATCCAGAGTCGTTTCTATCGGTCACCTGAAGTTATCCTGGGCATGAACTATCACATGGCTATTGACATGTGGAGTTTGGGTTGTATCCTCGCCGAGCTCTATACGGGATTCCCTATCTTCCCTGGTGAAAACGAGCAGGAGCAATTGTCTTGTATCATGGAGGTCTTGGGGCCCCCAGATAAGGACTTCATTAATCGTAGCTCCCGAAAGCGACTCTTCTTCGGTAAGATGACACATTGACGACCTTGGATCACTTTCCTGACCCTTTCTAAGACAACAATGGCGCACCCCGACCCGTGGTGAACTCTAAAGGTCGTCGTAGACGACCAGGCACAAAAACGCTTGCCCAAGTCCTACGATGTCAAGACGATGACTTTATTGACTTCATTGCGCGGTGCCTTGTATGGGATCCTGAGCGAAGGATGAAACCTCAAGCAGCGCTGCAACATAACTTCCTCCGTGTAGGACGTCGAAGCAAGATCACTAGCCCTTCGCCAGCCACCGCGAAGGCTTTACTTCCTTCGTCCAGAACCAAAGTCGCTGAGACACCCAAGAAGTCACAGATTAGTGCTCCCACTCCATTGACCGCCAGGACTTCACGAACGACCACGAACGGAGTACCCTCTACTCCAAACACGACTACTGTAGGATCATCATCTCGGACGTACCGGTCCGGCCAGTCACACGGGCTTTCCTCCCAATATTCCAACCGGACACTCAGTGGGTTCGCAGTGAGTCGTCAATCCTCATCGGAAATGCCGTTCGAACAAGAGCTTATGAGCTGGCTGCAGACAACAGCCTCTTTGAAATGAGCGACGATGTACACTTCACGCAAACACCTTTTTTCGCTGTGCTTTCTAATACTTACTCCTTGGGGGATTTTGCTAGTTGCTAGAGTCTTACCTACAACAACAAGCTGGCCTTCCTTCTTCATACCCGGTCTGCTGTATTTTACCCCTACTTGTCATTTGCATGTTATCCCATAGGTTTTCTGCATATCATCATAATGCTCGCATCACTCAATATAGTTTTCTACTTGTCCTGTGGTTTGCACGTCAACCTCGGCGTATCCTGTTCATTGCGGATGCAGATTGCTGTGTGAACTTCTACAAAAGTTCACAACTGAGACTTGATGATGCGAGACCAACTTGATTAGTCTTTGACATATACAAGTTACTACTGCATGCATGCATACTCACTGGCTATGTTCGCGCAACCAAAGTTGGTTGATACCAGTTGGCGTTCGATGGTGGATAGAACTCGAGCATGACATGGACGAGTTGCCCATTTAACATTGACATTGCTCATGCGCACATGCACATACGAGATGCTAGAACAGACCATGTGCAGCGCAGCAATATAGCCTAACTGTAGATAACACTTGTATATACATGCTGCGTACAAAACTCTATAAAACTCGACATAAATATACACTTCAATTCCAACTCAGAAAACAGTTACGGCACAAAATCACAACGCATGTTCCATGGGCTTAATCTTGCATGGCCCATTGTGGCAGCCACTCCTCCCAATCCTCCCAGTCGATATCAACCGATTCACGCCCATGATGTTTATGGTCTTCTTTGTGGTGGCCACGAGGATCGAGCAGAGTTGTAATGACATGCAAAGCACCATTCCGAGCGGGAATGTCATACGGTCCAACATCGCGACCGTTGACCATAAACCTGGTGAAGTAGCGGGCAGGACCAGGAAGGGGAATCTTGGCTTTGTAGCGCGCAACCTGAACATTTACGGAATAATCCTCCAGCAGGGTGGGAAGGGTGAGATTGTAAGCGTATAAAGGGACACCAGCTTCCCGGTCATCAATGAAGGCGGCATAAGATGTAGCATCGTGCACGTAGTCTATTGATAAATGCAGTTAGATCTACGATAAGATGATTTTCTGCGTTTACTCGCCTGTGTGCAGCACGACTTGAGGCACGATATGATACTCCAGAAGTTTCTTGAGTGCTTTAGTGCCAAAGGGCGAAAACAAGAAATGTCGTAATTTGTGGGGAAGACGCTTGAATGCTCCCGATGTGGGGGCAAAGAAAGTAGTGATTTCTGCGCCAACAAATGATCCATGACCACCATCTTTGCCGGGGGTCCACCAACGATCAATTGCGCCAGTCAATTCCACGCGTTGAATAGCAGACGTCTACACAGTGTAAAATATACGAGGGAAAAAAGGAAGATTACAAACTTACCACGTATGAGAAGACTTCGGGAACAACAAACATCTCACTGAACAAGGAAGGGGGAGGCAGGAGAGGAATGTTGATACTGTGGATCACACCTGTGGTCCGTCGTAAGTATGTACCCGGGACTCGGTATCAGATCCAGCTCACCATTGCTAGCCTCAATATCGCGCTTTATGACATCTACCACAGTATTAATCCTGAGACGAGGGGGAACAATCGTGCTCTGAACGCTCAAGCGCAATGGCTGATAGTCCATGCTTCCATCCTTCAGTGTCAGGTTTGTTGCATATGTAGAATTTTGAACGAGTGCAGCAGAATCCAACTTCTCAGGCAAGATGTGATACGCGAGGATACCACGGATGATACGGCCAAGGGCCTCCTTACGGTGGTCCTTGTCACGAGACTCGGGAATGTCATCAAGTTCTTCAACCTGAAGGACGAGATGACCAAGGTCATGAGCGATATCACGCTCATCCCCACGTTTAGGTGCGAGAGATGCGCAACCGAACTGATGATTGTCGTCGTCGTCGTCGTCGTCCCCGTGCGAGGGCTGACGATGTGGGATGCCTGTATTTGGAACTGCAAAAAAAGTGATGCTGGAGAAATGATGTCGGGTAGGCGAGAAGCACTGGTATAGGGGTACTTACCTGGCCGCGGGGTCGTCCAAAAGGTTGATGACCCTGTCGCTCAAGTCGATGGCTTTGACTAAACGCGAGTACCTGCTAGGCTGTTAGAATGCGATAGACCTGATTACTATTACGAGTAACCTTTCGTCGCCTTTCAAAACCTGGTAGATTGTCCTGTCCTCCGAAAGGGGTGCAAACATGCCCCAACAGCGAACTAGCCCCTCAACGGGAAACTGCGCAAGCCAGGGAAGCGTAGGAAGAGCAAACGCGCCTCCTACACAGAGTAGTGGCACAAGATTATGGATTTTCATGGTAGTGCGCCTATTTCTGACGTGTCGGTGGAACCAATGATGGAGGGTAAAGATGGAAATAAGAGGGGCTAAGGGTGTTATATAGCCCCTGATACTCTCCGCAGCACACCAACTGCGCATGACGGTAGAGTGGCACAAACATGGTCATGGGCGTCATTTGTATAATAAACGTTGGTGCACAGGATGATCGATGACCCTGAAAATGAGACCTGAGGGGAACAGTGCTCCCGTAGAAGCTTCTACGCATAAGTCAGCGTGTACACGCTAGTGCAGAGTGACAACTGGTATTATGCTATGGGCTACAAAGTGTTATGACAACGTGCGACCGCGAACATGTTCGATCTACTCCACCATCTGGCGGAATTTGTCCTGGATTTCTGTGTGCAGCGCGTCCAGCTTCTGCATGATAGGTTCCTGTCCTTGCGACGGAGACTGACAGACAAACTCGATGGAGTGAACAATCACAAGAGAATGACAAACACGTACCTCGAATTTCATTTGCGAGAGTTTAAACATGAGATCACTCGCAGCATCCTTGATTCTCGCGAACGTCAGATCGCCTTGTGCCACCGCTCTCAGCGCTGAATCGTGGAATGCCACGAAATTCTTCAACATTCCTGCAGTCTTGTAGAATGGACAGTAGCGGTCATACTCGCTCATGCCGTTCTGTTGCAGGAAGTCGTCCTTGAGCATCCGCGCAACCTCCAGCGTAATTTTATCCGATTCTCCCAGCGCGCTTTTCCCGACAAGTTGTACAATCTCAGCGAGATCCTCCTCCTTCTGCAGGATCTCCTTCGTTTTCATGCGTAAAGACACGAAGCCTTGTGAGTTGGACTCATAGTAAGGCTCAAGCACTTTCGTGTACTTGGAGTACGACAAGTTCCAGTTAACAGACGGGAAATGCTTGCGCTGCGCGAGCTTCTTGTCGAGACCCCAAAAGACTTGCACGATACTAAGTGTGGCGGATGTGACGGGATCCGAGAAGTCACCACCCGGTGGAGACACACTAAAATGTGATTAGGATAATGTCCATACAGAAGTAATTCCTACCTACGCCCCAACAATCGATACTGTTCCCTGCCTCACTGGGCTACCCAAACACTTCACTTTCCCGGCGCGCTCGTAGAAGCTCGCCAGCTTGGTCCCAAGGTAGGCAGGATATCCTGAATCAGCCGGCATCTCTGCCAGGCGACCCGAAATCTCACGTAGCGCCTCAGCCCAACGCGACGTTGAGTCTGCCATCATTGCGACGTTCGAACCCTGGTCCCGGAAGTATTCTGAGAGTGTGATACCGGTGTAAATTGATGCCTCGCGAGCTGCGACTGGCATATTGGAAGTGTTAGCAACGAGCGTAGTACGCTTCATAATGGGTTCTTGGCGAGAGCCAACCTCCATTGTAAGTTCGGGGAACTATGGGGCGTCAGCATGTGCTTATATTAGATACGTAGTAATATCACCTCCATCAACACTTCAGCCATCTAAAAATGGTATATGAAGAATGAAACGATTCGAGACATCTTGAATAACGCACCTCATTACCTCGCTCACCACATCCGACGTAGATAATGATATCGCTATTCGAGAACTTGGAGAGCGCTTGCGAGATGACGGTCTTTCCGCAACCGAAAGCACCGGGGATGGCAGTAGTGCCACCTTGCACGCATCTATGCGCCTGTCAGCGATAAACTATTGATAGTGAGATATACAAACGGAAAAAGTGCGTCCAGGATACGTTGACCAGTCAACAAGGGGAAATCGGCGGTTTGTTTCTCGGCAACGGGTCGAGGTGCACGGACCGGCCACAACTGCATCATGGTGTGCTTTGTTGTCCGACCCTCGAACTCGGTCTCTAATACGATGTCCTAATGAAGACAATCAGGTACAGAATGTATGGATATAGTTGTGCTGCGGACGCACATCAACTGTATAGCTACCCTTTTCCGCGATGCGGGTGATGGTACCGAGAGCACGGGGAGGAAGCATGATCTTGTGGTTGTCGACGAGCGAGTTCTCGTACACGGCGCCGAAGATATCACCCCCTGATATGTGGTCACCGACCTTATGGATATCAGTATATTACTAATATCCGATCAGTGTTGAATCACCTTGTATGCGGTAGGGGTGAAATCCCAAGATATCGAGCGATCCAGTGCCTCTGTGTTGATACCGCGAGGGATGTAGATCGATTTGGACAGTTCCTGGATAGACTGTATCCCATTAAATAAGAAAATTATCTACGCGGCTGAAATGAATGCTTACTCGGAGTGGTCTCTGAATACCATCGACAATATTACCCATCAGACCTGTGGAGAGCTGAGAAACCACAATGTATGGCACATCATTTGAGTAACACACCTGGACCCAACTCAACACTAAGGGGTTTGCCCGTCCTTAGGACAGGGTCGCCGACGGTCACACCAGACGTCTCCTCATACACCTGAATCGTTACTTTATCTGCCTCTATTCGAATGACCTCTACGCCTAATGAGTCTCACTTCGTTCTTGTACTAAGGCTGCTCACCTCCGACGAGCTCGTCATGGCCGACGCGAACAAGCTCGTACATAGCAGCTCCAGTCATGTTCTCTGCGATGACGACAGGCCCTGAAACGCCGTACACTTGACCAAAGCGAGATTCGCGGTCTTCATCTTGGATCTTTGGGAGGTCGCGCCTTGCGTTCTGGAGAGCACCGGCCATCGTACGCAACTATAAGCTGCTCTGAAGTCTGATAAGTCGAGCTTCACTGGGCAGCATGCCCAAAGCGGAGTGTAAAGATCCTCGGTGACTGCCGAGGCGCGTTACCCAGTGCAGTGACGCGTCCCATAGCATAAGCAGTCAGTCTGTTCTTGCTCACCGTTCTCTCCGTCGTCCGGAACACTTCTTTCACCATCCGACGCGATGCCTCCAAAAGCGTAAGTCTATTAAGCATGCTCTTTCTGTTTTATGCTAACGATATTTACGCAGTGATTGGGAGAAATGTATGTACAGCTTGAAAGCCCTTGTGCTGTCACTGATTCCCTGCAGACGAGAAGAAGGTCGACGACAAAGAGGAGAAGATTCAAGGTTTGTAAATTGTATTCCTTGCATATATCCTGTCCTAACACCCTTTAGCTCTTACAACTAGCGACATCCAGATCCTCAAAACTTATGTAGGTACAATGTCTGTATGCTCCGTCCACGTACCAACGTACTTCCTGCAGGGTCAAGGAGCATACGCCGCAAAGCTGAAGAAGACAGAACATGACATCAAGGAAGTGCAGAAGCGGATAGATGAGAAGCTTGGTGCGCACAACCCTGTCCGCGCCGTTCATAGACTTATTTCGATGCAGGCGTGAAGGAGTCCGACACAGGCCTTGCTCCGCCAAATCTATGGGATCTTCCAGTCGATCGACAACGCATGGGGGCTCATCCATTGCAGGTTGCACGGTGTACCAAAATCATTCCTGTTGATCCCAAGAAAGCCGAAGCTGCACGCGCTGTCAACCCCGTCGGTGCCGCTCAGGGCCAGAAGGGGGCCGATGAGCAAGACAAATATGTCATCAACATAAAACAGATAGCTAAATTTGTTGTCGGTCTCGGCGATCGAGTTGCACCGACAGATATTGAAGAGGGTATGCGCGTGGGGTGTGTAGAATTACTTGTACAAAACGACGGTATGCTAACATTAACAGTGTGGACCGGAATAAATACCAGATCCAGATCCCATTGCCACCCAAGATCGATGCTTCGGTGACAATGATGCAAGTTGAGGAGAAGCCCGATGTAACGTACTCGGACGTCGGTGGATGCAAAGAGCAAATCGAGAAGCTGCGAGAAGTCGTCGAGACGCCGCTACTATCAGTGAGTTGTCCTTATGCTCGGTCATGCTGAATCGCTGACACTGTCCAAGCCTGAACGCTTCGTCAAGCTCGGTATTGATCCCCCAAAGGGGGTCCTTCTCTTTGGGCCACCAGGAACCGGCAAAACTCTCTGTGCACGCGCAGTCGCTAATCGTACAGATGCCACCTTCATCCGCGTCATTGGCTCCGAGCTTGTGCAAAAGTATGTTGGTGAGGGTGCGCGAATGGTGCGCGAGTTGTTCGAGATGGCACGTTCAAAGAAGGCTTGTATTATTTTCTTTGACGAAGTCGACGCTATCGGTGGGGCACGATTTGACGATGGCGCTGGAGGTGACAATGAGGTGCAGCGCACAATGTTGGAGCTGATTAACCAGCTGGATGGATTCGACCCTCGAGGGAATATCAAGGTGCTCATGGCCACAAATCGACCAGATACTCTTGACCCTGCATTGTTGCGTCCCGGTCGACTTGATCGGCGGGTAGAGTTCTCGCTACCTGATAATGAGGGCAGGGCTCATATCCTCAAGATTCATGCTAGGAGGTGAGAGACTGTAATATCCACACTTATTAGCCTTGCTAATGACCCTCTTCAGTATGAGCGTCGAACGTGACATCCGATTCGACCTTATTGCTCGATTATGTCCCAATACGACGGGTGCTGAACTTCGGTCAGTTGCAACTGAGGTGAGAAGTGGTCATCTTCGACACCAGACATATTGTGATTATATCCTGTCCAGGCTGGCATGTTTGCAATTCGTGCCCGTCGGAAGGTCGCTACGGAACGCGACTTCCTCGATGCTGTAGAGAAGGTCGTGCGGCAAGGGACGAAATTTTCGTCAACGTAAGCCATTATTCATATCTTCCCCGAAGAAATCTCATCATACGTTGCCACTGCAGACCTCTATACCAAGTGTACAACTAGACTATTTGACTTTAGGCTTGCATTATTTTGCATGTATTATTTTCCCAAATCACGCATTTTCATGGACCGCTTGAGCATTCTGTTGTGGACCAAGGACTCTGTGCAGCACTGAGCACACTCTCGAGTCTCAACTACCTGGCTCATACTATAGCAATTTCCCGGCAAAGCTACTCGAATTTTCACCGTGATCTTCATATCGAACGGGCTCGAAGTACCATGTAACATGACGACGTTGATCCTTCGGATTTTTGCCGAATTAGTATATTATACGGAGCAAGGTCTATGAATGCGGCGTGACCTGTGGTGGTAAACATCACAAAATATACACGTGATCATCGCGAACCGTCTGACACCAGACACACCAAAATGAATTAGACTGCGTTATTGCTGATTCTGCACAGAATTACATTATGGCGAATGAGATAATGGTACAAAGTATCTTCAAGAACGATCCTCCCGAACAATAATTACACTACTTTTTTAAAATCCATCCGGCAAACTCATTTCATCACTGGCCCTCACACATATGCCATGCTATGAACGGCCCGAGCTTCGATAACAGCGCGAACAATTAACCTCGAGGTTGTTTCAACCACGCCGATGCAAAAGCACACAGCATATGCGAGGATGGTATGTGCTCCAATATCCAGAGCATACAAGAGCGCGAATGCGTCCAAATTAATTTATACCTGAAACCTGTCCAAGATATGAAAAAATGCATAGTGACAAAGACTACTCGCCCGAATATGAACCACGACTCCAATTGATCGTCTGACCTGCGATTCTACAAATGTAGCTGCTTGCCGTCATTCCTGTATGAAAGTCAACAGCCTGGCGCATTCCGCAATTAGATACGAGCAAATGACTAACTCAGATTATGTCATCACAACAGGTGTCATGGACTTCATTCACAGCGGACAATACGACGAACGAACGACATAACCATTATCAAAAATGCGGCAAAAGAGAACACAGAAAGTCCGTAAGTTAATTGTCAGACAAACAGCCCAAGCACCAATTTCTTAACTGACCACTCGAGGAATTTTGAGAGCAGCATCTCTCAACCGTTCTGCTAACAGAAGGGTATCTGCATACACCACTGTAGTATCTAAGTCGCGTGCCATTTTCTGAGCGATTCCTCAGTAATAAATTAGGGTAAAAGACGCCAACATATAACTAACTGACGTACGATTAAACTCTGCTGGATCTGCACATAACACTTGATCTGCAAGGATGGTAGGAGAGTCTGTATAAATCATTCGAGACCCGCTAGACTCAAAGGCTTCTTGGACAGCGGCCGCAGTCTGAATGAAGATATGAGGAGTGCCGCGAGATTGGTGTTCGACTGATGAGACACTCATCAACGATAAATAATGCACATAACGAATTAAACATACTAAATATAAAAGCACATTCGGCGTTGGAAGTCTTCAGCAATTCGAACACGCTAAGCTGCATCGTAGACCCCTTCGACACCCTTTGGAAGATCTTCGTATAGAAGACGAAAGAATGCGAGAACTGGTAGAAGACACCGAGAGACGTTTTAATGAAGGTGAATATGGACCCATATGAAAGTTTACAGCCTTTTGTATCATGCTCAGAATGTTGTGCGTCTGAACGGCGAGTAATCAAAGATATTTGGCCCTGTTGATATTGTGGGCAAGTCAAATTAAGCGAAAGAGCTCCGCAAGGTAAAAAGTCGGCAACGCCGACCCCTAGTATATTATAATGATGCCATAACCCTAGGTCGATATGCATATGCTTGTTACTTAGAGCCTAGAACTGTCTAATACCCGATGTATTTATGTAATATTTAACGCTCAAGCGCTTACCATCAAGCTTGCACTCCATACTCGCTCCATAATACTATCGAGAAACTACTACTCAGGAGACAAACAGAAAGATTGAACTAGTTCCGCACATTAATGATCAACCTTCCAGTGCGCGCCATTACAGCGCGTACCGTCCAACGGCGGCGATACCATGTTCGTCGTGCACCGTTGCCACCGTCTGCTGAGTCTGCTCGACTTCTCGACTCGTTCGCAGCACATCCGCCACTTCCCCTAACGCTCTCAGCCCTCGTGTCCTTCGGAAACCCTTTAATACCTGCATCTGTGCTGCGCTCAGTAACGTACGTACTCTCGGAGATACCAAGACGTATGGCCCGGCGCGTCCGCGCCCTCGAGGGGTTACCATTCATTGTTGGTACTAATCCATATGTTGCACGAACTCTCAACGGTCACAGAGACAGCTTTAATGTTCTCGCCACTTATCCCGAAGTGCGCACACTTGAGGACAATAAACATTTTGTCGATGAACTAGATATACTCGTGCAGAGACATAGAAACGATATACCAACCATGGCCAAGGGGTGCGTTAATCCTTGTGCTTCGATTGATTAACCTGACTTCAACGACTTTTAGATTCCAAGAATGCTCGCGGTACATGTCTCCGACTCAAATATCCAACTTCCTCGATGGTGCCATCAGATCTCGCATCTCTGTACGCCTGATCGCTGAACAACATATTGCGCTCTCACACGCACTTGCCATGGATCCCGGCGCCGCAGAGGCTGGCGTGCTCGTGCACAATGGTGTCATTGATCCAAAGTGCTCTCCCGCAGAGATGGTCCGCATGTGTGGCGCATTCGTCAGCGAATTATGCGAGGCGACCCTCGGCGCAAGCCCCAACATTACGATCGACGGGTGTCCAGAAGCTACATTCGCGTGAGTTCGACACATCTACAGCAGAACCTATTAGTATAATCCTCCTCCACCTAGCTATGTCCCTGTGCACCTTGAATATATCCTCACCGAAATGCTCAAGAACGCGTTCCGCGCCACCGTAGAGCACCACCACAAGCTTCATGGTCTCGCTTCATCCCATCCCCTACCACCTGTACAAGTCACCATCTCACCCCCCACACCACCACATCCATTCCTATCAGTTCGAATTCGCGACCAGGGCGGTGGGGTATCAGCGTCCAACATGGCTCGTATATTCTCATACGCTTTCACTACTGCGGGGCACGCCGACGACCAGAAAGAAGATGGTGGGCCGTATGCCGCACAGCATATTGGTGGGAGCGCAGCCATTGGGAGTGGCAGTGTAGGGGAAGGCGGGAACCTTTTTGGCGAGATTACAGAGAAGGGTGTCCAGGTGGGCCTTGGAACAATTGCAGGTTTAGGGTACGGGCTCCCTCTGAGTCGGTTATATGCAAAGTATGTTCGCCTTTGCTTTTCATCCGTGTCTAGCCTCATTGATTTTGTAGATATTTCGGTGGCTCATTGGATCTATTTTCGCTTGACGGGTGGGGTGAGTTCGACTAAGTATTCATGCGTCGTTTCGGACTTGCTGATGATCTTGCAGGCAGCGATGTCTTTATTAAACTTAGGTGTTTACTAGACGATGCAGGTAACGCCGAGATATAGATCCAGTGGACTTAGTAATGTTTAGCTGTATTTCACACCCAACACTTGTTACTTTCACAATCGTGTCTCTGAGCAGCTATATTACTTGAGTGTTTGCCCGGCGTCCTGTTGGCAATAATTAATGCCTGATGGCTTAAATATGGGTTTAGAAGGAGGTCGGTGATCAGCATGCCCACCCTCTTTCAAGTTTGAACTGGTAGTATTATCTCAGTAACCAGACTGATTTCTTTGCAGATAGTGGTGTGATTCCAGTTAGTTATCTGAAATAACGGTGCCAAACCAGTGCCTCGCCATCACGAATTCACCATCGTCTTGCATTACAGAATCAACCCGACCAACAAATTTTCGCCCTTGCACTATGAGGGGCAGCCAGCGATCATCACCATCCCACATCGTTTTATACGGGATCGGTGGCACTATTGCGTCTGCATCAGATGCGGTGGGTGACGCGATTGAGAACCACTCTGGTCGCATTTCGTCTGACCTGGGACCAGTCCTTGAATTCAACAAACCCCACAGTCGCGCAGCCAAAAAGGACCTACTCTGTAGGTGTTCCTGAGTATGTACGGGCAGAAAATATCTCGATCTGGAAAGCCCATTCAACGCCTTTCGCCATGAACAACAGTGATCCTGCGTGCTCAAGGGGCGCATCAATGCCAGCTTCTTCCTGAATCGCACGTCAGTATTTGGCACCCGTGTTATAGAAATGAAGTTGAAAGACTTTAAGTTCGCGCATCGCAGCTTCAGTGAGCGTCTCTCCTGGTTCCACCTTGCCACCAAACCCATTGTACCTGTTATTTGGATTCAAAATCACTCTCTATAATTGTGGCGGATACGTGGAAGCTTGCTTACTTATTGATGCCAAATCCGCGCTTCTTGAAACCGAGGAGAATCTGAAAAGTTGAAGCGTTCCCCTTGGATTGGTGGACTGTGTGATGCTAGTACACACCTTATCGTCCTGGATGATGAACGCGTTGGTATAGAACCGCTTCTGGTCGAATGGCAGCCAGTCTCCCACTCCCCCTTGAACGTGTTCTACGAGGTTTCCTTCCAGCCCAGGAGGAAGTATGGATGTCATTTGATTTATGGTTGTCTTGTGAGGTCTCAGATCTACGCGCAGATTGGCACTGGATCGCGTCGTCGAAACCGCATTGGTCAAATATATTCGGCACCGAGTATCGGTGGAACTACTCGATGTTGGGTAATGCCCCAACAGGCGTCGACCAACGTGTTGAGGGCTCTGGATCTGTACATATACAAACTTGCCATAACAAAGCAAGTAAGGGGTAACTTATATTCAAGTAAAATAGCAAAAACGTCACATACGACTCGGTGCTTGGCCCACGCCTCTCAGAGTCTTGTACTCGATGACAAATAGACTACACGCACCATGACCGCAATAGTACTCCCATCTTGCACACCTTGAACAGGTGGATGGTGACAACTTGAACGACACTACTACATAGCACTGATACTACGACATCGGGCCATCGGCGGCATCGCACAAGAGAAAGACGCATCTGGAGGGAACGATAGTGTTGACCCCGCGTCAACGCGATCCAATTGGCGCCATTCACAGAGCGCAAATCGAACACTATAGAGCCATCAGACAACTGGGCACACCAAAAATCACCAGTATTCATGTAAGAACCATGGAATAACTCGGTGAACAACAACGCAGTCAAACATAGGCACACAAATCAAATAACAGCTTCCCTCAGGAATCAGCTTGCAATGTTTATTATCTCAAGTTGAGCATTGTGCCTTTTCCTTGATCTGCCTTCTGATAAATATAAACCGCATGATCATATAGATCATACCACCAGTCACTGAAGCAACCTGTTGTCGAGTTGATGTAAATTCTGGAGAAAACGGTAGCCATGGTCAACTCACTCCAGAGAACACGGCGGGTATCCACCAAATATAATTTGATGTCAGTAGGGCGCCAGATATGGGGGTTCCTGTTAAAGAATTAGAATCAGAGGCAAGAAATGGTACAAAGGCGCCTACCGATCAAGCTTCCAAATCCTGTAGTAATTACGTGCGAGTTTTAAATGATGTATAAGTGTAGCTGATACTACCCACCGCTGATGAAGAAACAGATGCCCATCCGCGCGCTATAATCTAAATTAGACGGTTCGTACGTCCGAATTTCAACTATCGCTCACCCAAGCTCAGAGAGATCGGGCGTTAAAATAGCCACAAGCGGAGCTACCATCGCAATATCTATAACATCGATCAACCCATCAAGAAATTTTCACTGAGTGGAAAGAAAACTACTTACACAGTCCTGCAAAATAGCCATACATCACACCAAGTACAACGACGCTGGCCATGCTACTCAATCCAATCATGCCCAAAGTGAGCACACCGCCTGAAATTGTTGCTACTATGATTAAGTTTGGAACCCCCGTGAACGCTGCAATGAACCCTGACGTGACCCGTGCCACACAATTGGACACATTTAAAATCACTAACTAGTGATGCTGTCAGCAAGTAAATCAGTTGCATAGCGCTGTGTCTCACTGAGTAAAATGAGAAGGTGACACTGAGGCCGTGTTTGATAGAGTCGAGTTGAATGAAGAATAACGGGTAGTAGAAGCCAATCTGAAAAAAAAAGCCCCTGCGGACAGTTATTTGAAGGACTTTGAGAGAAGTTGTGCTGAAGTCTCACCCTGCCATCGCGAAAATAAATGGTACATCACGAATGCATTTTTTACCGGCCACAATATAGTTCGCTGGTGTCATCGGGGGATCAAGGCGAGTTCGCATGCATAGACATGCAGTCAAAAGGAGCACGCTAACAAACCCTGCGCTTGCACGGACACCATTTCCAAAACCAAGACGACCATTCAGGAGGTTATTGAGCATAATCGGATGGATGACAGCACCCAGAGATGAACCAGAAGCGACGAACGTCATAGCCAGTGTGCGTCTCCGGCGGAAATAATGCGAAACAATAGCTATGCTCGGGACATACACGAGCCCCGACGCGATACCCAGGCCTACACCTTGAGCAAGGAATACCTACACTAAATCAGAAACGAGGTCGTAAAGTTAGGAGAAGTTACCTGATAGTACTGATCGGGTTTTGACAAAGACAACATGAAGAGAGAGAAACTCTGCAGAAGCGACCCAGCAATTACGAGGTGGTAGCTAAGTTTGCTGAGTATCCTCAAAAACCTCTAACAAAGCTACACTTACAAATATCCCCGGTCATATAGTGGGCCTGATATAAGGCCCACAGCGGTGACTAAAAACGTGTTCAGGCTCCCGATCCATCTTTAAAAGACCTTGAGCATACCCGTCCTGAAAACATGAATGCAAACTCACGATATTGCAGACGATGTCTCGTTTGTGAGGTAATGCTGGGTATAGAAGTCTGGAAAATAATAAGTACAATGCTCCATTCTCACTTTCATATACAGCAATACCTTGGTAAACACCAAATGAAGTGGTATAACTTTAATCATCCGTTCCAGAACCATTCTTAGTCAACAACGGGTAGCACCAGACTCACCCAAACCCGCATAGCTGTATAAGAAAGCTAAGCAAATCAAGTAAGGCCCAGCATTGCCGCCCATGTTTGAGTTTCTTACGCTCCAAAAGTTGTTGTCCAAGCAGCCAGACCACCTTCGGGAAACTCATGCGGGTGTGAGGAAAGGTTGGAGTCCGTGGCTAAATGGGATCCTTCCAATGTCTCGGACTCCTTGTCCTGTTGGGGGGCTGCATATAGCATTCGAGGCTTGGATTCAGACGGCATCCTGGGCCAGGACAACCGACAATAGCGACTGTATATATACGTGAACCCCATGTTTGTCAAGTCACGAGTTGAAAAACCTAGTTTCGGCTTGTCGGGAGAGCGTTTATACAGACTGATGGGAAACGGATTAACTTGAAGCACTTCAGACAGACCGTGTACCCGGCACTCACCTGGGGTCGTAGTTTGAATTACCTCATATTCTTGGAGCAGCTGAGTACCAGGAAGAATCCCTGCACCCACCTGCACGACAGGAGGATTAGATAATCTGTGAAAAAACGTTCTTCAAGGTCTGATCTTATTTCTCATATTTTCTGACAAGCTTGAAACGGAATATGGATCGACTTGACCATGTGGCATGCTGTGTACATGAGCACATGATGTGAGTATGACGGTTCTGTATACACCCGGAGTGATTGTGGCGCACAGCGCTAGCATTTTTCACAGCCCCAACACGCATGGCTCGATCTTGCAGCTTACCTTGGCCTGGTCCTCGGGACCCGATTATTCCGTAGTATCAGTGATGAAAGAGGCATCCCAACGACCAATTTCGTACTTGATGCCTCTCCGACATGACCTGTACATTGTCAGCGACGAAAAGCTTGAGTGTTAACACCGTTCAACCGGTCGTGAGTATCCAACTACACCTTGCGTTTCGCCAGGAAAATTCAGCACGCTCAGGCAGTCGGAACCGACACTCGTCAATTTGCACTGACGGGTGCTTAGTGCTTAACAGGTGTAGTAGGGGAGGCTTCATGCAAATCATGTCATCCCCTGTATACATCGCAAACTGACTTTCAAAGTTTTCTTCTACTTCCGCAGATCCGACATTCAATTGTTTCAAGTCCGCAGCGAAGTTGAGATTGTGAACATCAATCATTGACTTGGATGATAATGGAGACACGGTAACTCACCCTATATATAAAATCAGAGGTCTTGAGGTGACAAATCCTGACAAACCACTTGTATTATAAATCTCGTTAGTAACTAAGTTAGGTAGTTCAAAGTCAGCTTGATTATCTAAGATTTAGCGGACGGGCTCGTCTGGCACTACCGCACCTTCTCACTCACCGTCAAGACCCCCGTGTAGCATGTGAGTGTTGCTGTTCTGCGTGTTCGTCTCAGCATGACTGGTTCGATGTGATTTGAACTGGAAGGAGTAGTGGACTTCGAGTGGTCGGGGTGGATGCTATCCGATTGCTTTGGATGTGATTCTGCACTGGGTACTGATTTCACCTACTTCTATCGCAGATCACAACAATGGGTCGTCGTCCCGCCCGCTGCTACCGTTACTGCAAGAACAAGCCCTACCCCAAATCACGGTACAACCGTGGTGTCCCTGATCCTAAAGTTTGTTCACTCACGAGTCGTCGCTCAAATCCTCACCTCTCCACAGATCAGGATCTTCGACCTTGGCCGTAAACGTGCCTCTGTCGACGAGTTCCCCTTCTGTTGTCATCTTGTCTCTGATGAGTACGAGCAGCTGAGCTCTGAGGCGCTTGAAGCAGCTCGCATTTGCGCCAACAAGTATGTCACCAAGACATCCGGCAAGGATTCGTTCCACATGCGCGTCCGTGTGCACCCATTCCACGTCATCCGTATTAACAAGATGTTGAGTTGTGCTGGCGCTGATAGGTTCGTGATTTTGTTTTGAATTCGTGGTACGAGTCTTAGAATTTATTCGTGCAGGCTACAAACCGGTATGCGTGGTGCTTGGGGTAAACCCTACGGTACTGTCGCCCGTGTCAACATTGGCCAGATCATCCTCTCTATCCGTTGCAAGGAATCCAATGCTGCTGTCATCCAAGAAGCTCTCCGTCGTGCACGGTACAAGTTCCCGGGCCGTCAGAAAATCATTGTCTCGAAGAAGTGGGGCTTCACGAATGTGGCCCGTGAGGACTACATGAAGCTCAAGGAGGAGAAGAGGGTGTTGCAGTGCGTATCATTTCGGGTTGTCTGGCGGGTTTTTATATTGATACCTCTGTTATGCAGGGATGGAGCTTATGTACAGTTTATCCGTGCTAGAGGCCCCTTGGAGCAGAACTTGCGTGCTCAGCTCAAAGCTTAGATCCATACTCTTTATGCATATAATGACTCAGTGGAACGAGTGGAAGATGGACTGCAAGTGCCTACATACTGGGAATTCGTCACTTTGTGCGAGATAACTTATATGTGAGTGGCGAGATGAAGTATATACCAACTTCACATTTTTGTGGTGTTGTCGGCACTCGGGCCGTGCCGCCACGTCGCCATATTTCTCAACTCCCATTGTGATCTAGTTCATGACTGCCTACCATGTCCGAAGTTCGATATCTATGAGCAGACATGGAAAGTGCTGGAGTCTGCATTGATACTGCAGCGATTATGACGATTGTTGACTGCCACATTAATATTGTCCCGGTCCCGGATGTTCCCAGATCATGTCCAATAGAACGTCAAGACGGTGATGCAGAAGTTCTCCGAGCTAGGTTTTTTTACAACCAAACATGATGTATTGGTGTACGTCTTATGACATTCTTGTGCCAATTCCAGATAATTTCTGAAGTCGAAACAATATATAGCATCCACTGGAGGGCGGCCCGTCCCCGTCCTCTATCTGTGGTAATTTCATCTCTATTATCCAGGCCCCTCTTCCTTCTCTGCTACTGGTATCCTCGAGCTCAAATCGACCAATACCCTTTCAGCTTTCCCCTTTACTCTGGGCGACCTGCTCTCCATTCCCTTGCGTTCCCCCAACTCAATCATCATCTTCGGGATCATCATCGCCCGGAGGCCCCACCTTCTACCGCCTTACAGGCTACGATGAACATGAAGTTCTTGGCCGCAACCCTATCTTGGCAGTAATCCATGCAGCAGAGCGAGGGACGCCTCCTCGTCGCCTCAGGTGTCGCGGAGCACTTAAAATGAATCCCCCGCCTCAGGTAGCATCAACTACCGCAAAAGCGAGCAGACTGCCATTTATCTCGTCACGTTGAAGGGTGGCATACCAAATCATGTAGATAGTAGAAAAGCTCTTTAGGTCAATCTCACCGAGCAACTCAATGTAATCCCGTAGAAACTCGTGCGACGGAGGCTACATCGTGAATTACAGCAACACCGCAAACGCACTACTACCTTCTCAGCTGGAGTTAGTTATTGTGTTGTCCGACAGCGCACTCGTTAAATACCAGCCTCGACCAGTAGGACATATTATGTTTATGATGACCTCCAACTTCGACCTGCCTCGCATTTGTACCTTATGCTTGAACTAAAGAACGAGTGCTGCATAGTCAAAGTAGAAAACCATATATCTCTGTGAGCCACTGTACATGATATAGATACCTATATACCATGATCACGATTATTCTGTTACCGTATGTCAGTCTGTCAGAAATCCGAGATAATGATGACAACGGACCTAACCCAGTCAAGTGCGTCAATGTCTCAGATGTACACGGAAATCGCGGGACAATGCGGTAGGAAAATTCCTCTGGATGACTGAAATAACAAGATATTAGCAGGCTAGTTTCGGGGACAAATGTGATTCTACAAACATAATGAGACCAGTGGAGAACTTTGGAACGACTGGGATGTCCATTCCGTGATCATCAAGAGCCTTGTGGGCCGAGAAAACGGCCAGGAAGTTTGCCATCGCGATCCAGAGTGACGCATCTGCGAGATGTTGTCCCACACTGACCAGCGGATTTCAGTGGAGAGTACTAGTGAAGAAGCACTAAACATATGCTCACCATATCCGGCGACCCCAGCCAAAGCCTAAAGGCATCATGTCGCTGGTGAGGGACCCATCATCATGGAGAAATCGTTCGGGCTTGAATTCATCGGGACTGGGGTACTTCGTTTCATTATGGGTCATCGCCCTGGATCATTGGTCATTTCGAGCGAATTCAGTATAAAAATATTGCAGGCTTGCCATGCATTTTTAAATACAACCACCCCTAATAATTTGGGTCATTAGTTACCTTCGCTAGAACATTATGATACTAACCTTTGGGGATGAAATAACCTTTGTAGATGTCACTGGTAGTTGTCGTGCTTGGAACGCCTTGGTACATCATCAGAACAAGGCGTAAAATTGGCATTATAATGGACGAACCGAACGGAACCACAGGGTGCCACCTGAGTGTTTCACGCAAAATAGCTTCCACGTAAGGCAAAGCAGGCCTATCGTCGAAACCGGGAAGTCTATCTTTGCCAACGACTCGGTCAATTTCCGCGTGCGCTTTGGCTTGTGCCTCTAGGTGGAGTACCATAGCGAGAAGGAACACGAGTAACGTAGAAGCACTCTTAGCCGATGGCAAAATGATTACCATGTCAAGCACAAACCAAAGTAATGCATACCGTTTCAACCCCCGCTAGAGATAGGAAGTAAAATGAGCATCGAGGGGACACAGTTCTTTAGCATATATACCTCCAAATGCGATGGCAGCGGCCTCCTTGATTGCAGTTGTAATGACGATGTCGTCCTCAACGGACAGCCCCGTCCTGTTCAAAGCTTCAGTCACAAAGCATGGTGCCACGTCGCCGGTAGACTGCGTGCCATTTGTCAGTTCGCCGCATCGATACGGATGGGGCGATTTACCATCCTCTCCTTGAGATGTTGAAAGGGTATCTCCTTCACATCATGGCCTGCGTTCAGACACTTCACTGATGCTTGTTTGAATGTGGCACCAGGAAACCAGCTAGGTAGCTTCAACACTAGAACGACCGTTGAGATGTAACCACAGGCTATCATTGAATGTGTGAACATACGGAAAGGGAATGTCTCCATCACCACAGTAGCACCCGGCGTCAGCGCTTCTACGACCAGTTCTCCATACCTTTCAACGACGTGAAGGATGGTATCATCCTTGGCTTTCACTTCGTAATCATATACAATAGACAGCATCAACGAAGCCATGAACCTGGTGAAGATCAGCCTCAGCAGTGGACCAAAAAGACTGTTGCAACCAACATCTGAACATGGCTTGAATAATTGCCTGGGTCTTGTTGAAGACTAGACAACATTCTGTGTGCAGAACGGAGTTGCAAAGCATGATAAGTAGGTATTTCAGCTTGACGAAATGCCTGATGAAACACGCGTCGGTGCAGGCGCCACCTGCTGGATATCAGAACCAACATAACATACAAACAATAGCTTACCTGTCTCCATATGGCATGAGCCCTGCGTTGAAGTCTGACGCGAAGCTGACAACACCCTCGTGATCGATGCGGAGCAATACTCAAATATGTAACTTACAGTTCGTAAACGATCGACTGGGGTTTATCCGAGTATGTAGTGGACCGCCCTTCAAAAAGGTCTTTCGCAACCTCCTCAGAATTTATTACAATAACAGGCTTGTTAAGCAGACGAGCATATATGATATCGCCTGGAAAAAACATGAGTTAATGACGAAAAGATTTCCGTTAAAATGTGCCAACCATATGTGGATCTCCAGGCGTTGAAGGTCAACCAAGGTCGAGCGACATCAAGACTGAGAACATTTCCTACTATTGGGAGGGGGGTAGGACCAGGCGGCAGAGGAGGGTGCGAACGACTGAGCCAATATTTTCGACAATAGCTTAGAAAAGTTAATGTCAAGGCTGACGTGGCCAAGTAAAGTCCAGGTCCGTCGTCGAACATCGTTAGGTGTCTATCGGGCACTTAAACCTAGCTAGGAGGAAGATGTCTACTATTTATGAATTCATGGCCACTACCCTGTTATCAGTCAGATTACTCGGCTCTTTCAAACCCTGAGCAAACACAGTCCGAACACCCTCACGGCGTGACAGTATTCGCAACGGGGAGATCTTGGCTTCTGATCAGCTGAGCAGTACATCGAGATAAAGTTAGTAATAATTCACACGATAAGAGCCGAATAATTTGTGGTACTCAGAATAAATCTTGAAACTCCTTGAAAACTCGCCTAAAGCTCGGCTACTTCAACAAAACACAGCATGAGCATGTGCCGCAATTGAAAGTCAGGCCGGCATCGCACATCGGAGTTCGAAAAACATGCTTGTCGTTTGCCAATGTGCTCGCTGGTCTGCACGACTTAGAGCCAATGCTCATCCATGCACGAGGGCGATGGACCATCTGCCATCCACCTCACAAGCTCAACCCACTCCTGCAAGTGATTCTGGACCAGGTTGACAGTTCAGTGGGGCAAAGAAGATGCTCTCACTGACATCCTGGTGGACATGCAGATCTTCCTCCCAACACTTTTCATCCCCCCCCCCCCTGCTGCTCAGCATCCCCCCCTCCTCCGCTCAGCACTTATTTGGTCCCTCCCGCACTCCCTACCTACAGCTGATTTCATTCCTGCAGGCCTTGTTTTTTTTACAATTTTATTAATGCTTTCATTTGAAATACAATTATGTTGGACTGCTACTCTACCACTTTCCCCTATGTACATAGCACACTTTGAAAAATCACAAGTGTTGTTTTAAAGTCTGACTACATGCTGATGTGTGCTGAGCACATTTCTCTTGGACTTGCGTGAGTTCTTTCAAACTTTAAGTGGGGAGTTGAAGGGAGTTGAATGCAGTTTAACAAGTTTTCAAGAGTTTCAAAATTTATTTTGAGTACCACTACTGTCATATCCCATATGCCAGACATAGATCCCATCATATTCCCACGCTTTCCGGACCTATTTCCGGACCCCATATCTGACTCATTTCTGGATCCCCTATCCTGTCCACCCTATGCACATTCCGTCCAGCAAGACATCTAGACTTTACCTCCTCTCAGATTCCAGACTACATCCACCACCTCACATATCTCAGTCCTGTTTCCGCCCTGCCTTCTGGATCCCCAGATCTCCGGACCTATTCCCGCCCTCTATCTGAGATCCTGTGCCTATCCCCATTTAGGCATCTCTGCCTTTCCAGTTCTCAGTTATCTCTGTTTCCGTCTTGCTGATTGATCCTTGTACTAGTTTCATCTCTGAGTTCATTTACTTATGTTCCGTCTTACTTACCAATGTGTTTCCGCATGCTCGTACATAGCCTTACTCCTTTGCTTACTGATCCTCCCGGATAGCCTCTAGTATATAACCCCTGTACAACTACAGTAGAGTAGTCAGTCTGAATATCATCTTAGTTCCTGCTCATTCCTGTGTCCTCTGGACTTGAGATAAGTCTCTTGTCATATTCCAAAGTCTTAGGATTGCATCCTAGACTACATTTCTGACTCTACCTTAAAGGTAGTCCATCCTCTGTTAGTTTCTAGTCTGGACTTCATCCTGGATTAGTCTTATCTGCTTGCCCAGGTAATATCCAGACATCTGTTATCCACCCTAGTCAAATCCCAGAAACTCCGGACAACTGTTCTAGCCCCCGGAAATTAAGGGTACATACTTGGGAAAGGGGCACAGCATACGAGCTGAGGCCAAGCCCTTGTGATCCAACCCCCTTGAGCACACGACCTTAACAACTACTGACTACATCTAAAAGAGACCTCATGCTCGAACTGAGCTGGAAAGTTGTCTGAGACAATGCAAATATGGTATAGTCAGGGCAGGTAGTTCATAACACCATATCATACTGTTTTACATACAGTGGCTCAAAAAACTGTCCACATGTTTTTGCATTTTTTACTATTTACAATATTGTGTGAGAATACATAAAGACTTCAGTGACATGCTAATACCATATTGTAGTGCTGCTTCAGGGCTTTGGATTGAGAACCACATCGTGAGAATCAGAGGAGATATGGTGGAGATACAAGGCTTACAAAATCATGACTCATGCAGACAGTTTTTTGAGCACATATTAAAACTATATAAATCATCATTTATGACACAATAACAATCATGCCACCATTAAATAAATTATAAAGTGGTGTCATTATGTCATTTTAAAACCATATCTAACTATACAAACCAAAAATTTCCATATGTCATGGTTATATTCACCATGAAAGCCACCCCCCCTGCTCAAAGGGATAATATCCTCTCTCTTTCCTATTCTGGCCTCTCTGCTTGTCAAATTTCCTCTAGAACTGGAGTATCCAAGTCCACTGTGGCCAAGTTCATCAAAGAAAGTCACACAGACAAGGAAAACTTCTGTGAAGGGCATCCATCCAAGCTCACCTCTACTGATAGGAGGGCTATTATTCAACATATCACTACAGGAAAGGCTGATAATGCTGTCCAGGTCACCTATTACATCAATTCCACCATCACATTCCCTGTCTCTTCACACACTGTGAGAAACATTCTCAAGACAGCTCATCTCAGGTCAGTAACAAGGAAGAAAAGGCTCTCCTCTCTATCACACATATGCAGAGATGACTAACCTTTGCCTTAGCCCATCAGAATTGGATTACACAGACTGGAAGCATGTTATATGATCATATAAGACCACAATAAATAGGATTGGGTCAGATGGCAAGGTATATATGTGAAACAAGAAGGGTGCTAGTCATCTCTGCATATGTGTGATAGAGAGGAGAGCCTTTTCTTCCTTGTTACTGACCTGAGATGAGCTGTCTTAAGAATGTTTCTCACAGTGTGTGAAGAGACAGGGAATGTGATGGTGGAATTGATGTAATAGGTGACCTGGACAGCATTATCAGCCTTTCCTGTAGTGATATGTTGAATAATAGCCCTCCTATCAGTAGAGGTGAGCTTGGATGGATGCCCTTCACAGAAGTTTTCCTTGTCTGTGTGACTTTCTTTGATGAACTTGGCCACAGTGGACTTGGATACTCCAGTTCTAGAGGAAATTTGACAAGCAGAGAGGCCAGAATAGGAAAGAGAGAGGATATTATCCCTTTGAGCAGGGGGGGTGGCTTTCATGGTGAATATAACCATGACATATGGAAATTTTTGGTTTGTATAGTTAGATATGGTTTTAAAATGACATAATGACACCACTTTATAATTTATTTAATGGTGGCATGATTGTTATGGTGTCATAAATGATGATTTATATAGTTTTAATATGTGCTCAAAAAACTGTCTGCATGAGTCATGATTTTGTAAGCCTTGTATCTCCACCATATCTCCTCTGATTCTCACGATGTGGTTCTCAATCCAAAGCCCTGAAGCAGCACTACAATATGGTATTAGCATGTCACTGAAGTCTTTATGTATTCTCACACAATATTGTAAATAGTAAAAAATGCAAAAACATGTGGACAGTTTTTTGAGCCACTGTAAGTGCTTAAATAATTGCTGCTGTAGTGTTTTAATGATTATTGCGATGCATTATAGGTGGAATAGCTGAAAATTGTGGGAATCTAAGACAAAAACTACAAATTGTGATCCAAAATTTATGCTTGAATGACCAACTCAAAATCAGATAGTGCGAGGGTATGAGACCCCTGTTGTGACCTCCTGCAAATAATTAAATGGTCCATCCACCTGTCGAGACTCATCTTCTCAGCCTTGCTAAGAGAATCTAGGTAAGAACCAACAGTCTTGAAGGTAGTTTGGCCCTCATTCACAGAAAACCTATTCTGCATGAATACTAGTTGGCCTTGTTCCAATAATGCATGCTCCATCATTGTGCATGCAAGGGAAAACACATGATGTAATGCCTGATGGGGTGAATTGTGCTTGTCAAGTAGTATGTGAAGCTTGTTACAGTCAACATATGCCCCTATTCATTTTCTCTTAACCCTTACCTTGTATTATGTCACATGCCGCATATCGCTGCTGCTAGACTTATCTCTGACTTAGTCTTATCTCTGACTCACATTGTATTACACCACAATCACTATCGCCATTGCTAGGTGATCTATTCTTGCTATCTCTGACTCATCTTCAATCCCATGCCTGCCCTAAAGCACCTGTAGTTCACTATATATAGTTCACCTGGTACACTGTAGTTCTGCACTTAATCTTACTAGGTTTTACCTGGAACTTCCTTCATTTAAGACCTCCAATCTTAAGTTGTCTGAACATTGATATTCAAGTTGAGGACACTCTCCTTGCCTTGTCTTATGACCCTTGCATTTGCAAGGTCTTGAACCGACTCTAGCCATTGCTCTTATTGAGCTGCTATTGTCTTAACTATCCTAGTTTGTAACAAAAGATTAAGTCTCCTTCTGAACCTCTCCACCAGAGAGGTCCCCATTGCTAAGAAAGCAAGATGACCCCTTGGGTTAGAAAGTATTGGTGGGAAAGCAATCCCAGCACACTGCCAGAACCAGAAGAAGAATATCATGAGGCTGCAGGTCCGGATATAGAAGACAGAGAGAGACGAAACCTGTCCCCTGTAACTACTGAGTCAGAACACCACTTGACTACTTTGTCCAACAAATTCCTAGAAGAACAGACCCCTAGAAACATTACTGCAAACCCCAGTTTCAGAATGTCAGCACCCATGTCCACTTCCAAGCTTAAAGCTGGAACACCTATGAGCTATGACAGAAGCCCTAAACAGGCTCTCTGATGGTTATTCTCAGTAAAAGCATACTTTACTGTTAATTCCACAGTCTACAACACAGATGAAAAGAAAGTCATTACCACATTTGTGTATATGACAGAAGGCAGTGCCATGGGTTGGGCGCTGACCTTTTACACCAAAGTTGATAACTCCATCACCAAGTCATACAGAACCTTTGCTAACTTTGAGACCAAGTTCAAAGAAGCATTCATACCAGCTGACACTATCAGCACAGCCATGAACAAACTCCAAACCCTGAAGCAGATGGGTGACCTCACTTCCTATATTGCCAGTTTCAAAACCCTTGCTGTGCAAGCTGCCATAAAGCAAGATGCCATTTTGATTACGTTCTTCAATGATGGACTCAAGAAAGGAATTGGTAACTCTATC